GCGCTATATCGTTATACATTTAGAGTTGAAAGTTCATTTCAGTTTAAGGCTATATTTAAATATGTTATCTGTATACACGTGTATGTCTGTGTACATTGTTGTTACAAGACGTTTACTAGTAATTATGTACGGACATTAAAAATGTATAATTAATCTGCGATGAAGGCATAGATACGCCTTAAATTTATAATATTAAGTATGTAACACATATCTAAACGCTTATGAACAGGTACTATAATATAATTATATGTATTTGTGGATATACATGTAATAAAGACATTTTTCCATTAATAAAAAACATGGTATTATAAAAACTGTCCACAATTTATGGTTAGTATACTAAAAATACAATTAAATAATCTACACAGCTGTAAACCAAAACCCTGTAAATTATTTACGCTCACATCAAACAATAGCCTGACAATCCTCTAACACAATTGCAGTTAAACCTCAAGAACAATTAGATAATTATTGCGAAGCACGGTGGCAGGAAGTATTAAGTAAATAGCGTTGTAAAATATAACAATAGAAGCAAAACCATACGACCTTTAGTTCCCAGAATTGTTTTTATAAAGCATATGAGTCGAGTTAAAAACAATAACATAGAGGGCACACGATAAAACAGGTAGCGAAGCGCACCCTGTCTACCCAATTTATTCCACATCCGCTGTATTAAATTACGCTTATCGTAAAAAAACACTCACAAGGTGGTTAGGCGATCAATCGTCGATCTGTCGAGCCCCTACCCTCCAGTAGTCAGGTAGTGAACCCACAAAGTTTACAAACTATCGTCCGCAAGTGTACAATGGATGTCCATTGCAATTTTTTGTCACATTTCACAGTCCAACCGCAGTAGGTGGCGTTGAGACAGGTGAATAGGAGATTAGTGGAAGCGAGCACAACAATAGACGCACTGTACAGGCCATAAACAGTTAATAGAGACGGTGAACGAAAATGTTGATGTCACCTTTCTTCACTCGGTCTCATCACACAAGTTATACACTTCTAGTTTGTTCACTGTAATCCGTTCATAGAGTTTGGCACTGTTGTACTATTGAGGTTTTTTCAGTATGACGTTAACGTGCGCGCAGGCTGCGTGTGCGCAGATGGCGCGCGACTGGAGGGAGTTGAGCGCGCGTACTACCGGCGTCAGAGGCAGTAGCGCTCCTGTAGCGTTGCCCCTCCCCGGCCTTCACACCTCGCCCCGCTACGGCCCCGCCGAAGCCTTCATAGCGTTTTTACTTTGGGAGCGATAAAAGGGAAGGATATCGCTGGATTGTTTATTTTTCGTGTTAGTAGCATATAAGTCGTGTAAATTAACACAGCCCTCGGAATTATATCTTGCTTCATGAATTTCACCCGTGGTCGCTAATTGATATTCTATTTTATAAATCTTTTTTTATAATTTTTGACATTATTATTATGGGTCTGCATAAGGGTGATGGGTGGTGAACGCACACGATCACCTAAGTCAAGATCCTGTATTTTACGAGTTCATTTACCTATCGTATTGACATTAAGCAGCAAATTAAAACAACACATTTTATTTTTATTTATTCTTTATTACAACGAAATCTATTCATACAGTCACATATATTATTAAAAAACTTTGATTGATACTAAGTTATATATGTCTTCCACCTAACAAATAATATACTATTATTAAATATCATTTAACAGAAATTATTTTCATATTTGTTAACATTCACATTAAAATTTGGCACATTTTTTGGCATGAAAATAAAGATTAAAAATTATTAATATACAAAGTGCTGCAGAAAATTGTGGTCAAAATTTGAAATAGTTAAATGTAGCGAACAAATAATTTATTTAAATGCAAGAAAGTATTTTGAATTAGTTTTTCTTCAAAAGATATTTGTCCTATTTATTGTAGATTTATTTATTAAAAGTCAAGATTTTTGAAAAATGTTGGCATATTTCTACTATATGGCCCTAGAATATAATCATATCTTTCTGTAACAATCTGTATATTTGATAATATGTATATGGAATAAAAGTATCTCCATTTTTCTGATTTACTTATTTATTGAACACATTACAATAATTATTAGGTATATATTTTATGTATATCGTTGATAAACCTATAAATTATCAATAAACGATAAACTTTACTTTTAAACAACGTGCATTTTATAAATTTGCGATAAGTAAACAAATTTTTCATTTCTCTTATACACAACTATGTAAACATTTACTAATTTACATAACTACACTATAAGCTTTTAACCGACTGTGTTATAATCAAGTCTTTTTATTTTATTTTTTTAATATATATTGAGCTTTTATTGATTATTTATATACAAATCATCAATATGGTTTTATGTTTCCCTATTATTAATCATTTTAATGCACAATTTAAGTCACCTAGTATGGACCACATTCTAAAGGGGATTATACCAATAAATTTGATCATAATTACACATTTATAAATTACATTTTAAATAAGTAATATAAAGTGATTCGTAATCTCTGCAACCCCACATCCAAAATTATGATATTTACATTAATTGATAAAGAAATAATTCTTACATAATTATACGCGCATATTATTTGTAAACGATTTGTCAAAAATTCACAACACTGATAAGAATCGCTATTTATACAAGGGTTACAGAAATAGGATTAAAATAATAAACGTTCAGTGGATTGTGCTTTAATAGGTTAAAATCTATCTAGGGCTTTATAACTTTACTAACGAATTGGCACATCCATAATAATACCTACTATTTATATATCTACTGTTTCTACGTCCACATCTAAAATAATAAATATCCATGTAACTATTAGTAGGAATATTTTTTTCATCTTAATATAATTATCATCTTAGATTTCATCATCAATATTTTTTATATCCTTACGATGTCAGTCGTTATTCTAAGTCCAATATCTCGTATCTTTTGCATCGGCTCATTGGAATAAATAGTTATTTTACGTTATTCGTAATCTCAAAAATCCGTCCCCATGAAGTTATAGTCTGGATATATACGTAGTTATAATGTATTAGGATTTTTTATATTGAATTATTTATTTTCCATTTTAGTCTCATTTTCGTCAGTCGTAACTTCAGGGATTTAAAAGGACGTTTAATATTTCTGATTTTAGCAGTCAAAATCATTGATAAGTATATTATGTTATCTTCATATTTTAGAATTAAATAGTTTAAAGCTATGCATGTAATCAAACATGTATTACTATCATCTTCGATGCGTCGTTGCCATGATATCTAAATATTTATAATTGCATTAAATTTAAATTATATTTGACACTTGTGTAATATAAATCATTGAATATTTTCTACTGAATATATTTGGTATCAAATTCTATGACTGTATTTAAGGTACAATAGGACGGGATGTGATGTCGTTTATATGCGTTCGTACCTTTTAGTTATTCGATGATATTTTTGAAGGAAAACGAATAAAACCGAGCATGTATGCCAGTGAACTCAGATAGCGTGTTTAATTAATTTCTCATAGTACCGTCTGTACGCTTGGCGTGTCCGAGCAAAATTTGAAAATTGCCATGTGAAATCTAACAATTAAATTATGGAAGGCGCTAAGTTTTAACGTAGTTAGATGAAGATAGGTTTTAATGTTCTTGTCTCTGTTGTTTTCAATCCCATTCATAGAAAAATAATGGAATATTGATATTTATTGGCACTATCATTGTTATTTAAACTCCGGTTTATTTCCTCAGGAAGGTTCTCAAAACTTAAGTGTGTCTAATACTTTCAATTAAGTACCATCGTAACAGTCAAATAAATAATTATATTCATGGCTTTAATTATTTAATCAAAAAGTATTAGCCCCCCAAACAAAAAACAGTTTTTTGGGACTAATACCTTCCAAACGCCCACCACAGTAACTCCTGTTCACCATTTTCAACAGCAGTGACCCAGTGAACACCCCGGGTTATGACACTCGGATAGTCCCAGGAAACAATTAAACTCTCTATGAACCCGCAACGAAATAAATCAAAGGAAAATTGGAGGAGTTAGAAATTTAACAAATAAACTAATAGTTGTATCATATTATGCACTTAAACGATTTTGAATACTTTTTAATATAAATTGCAACTCAAATATAATATTAATGGCCCTTATTATAAAAGCCATATTTCTGAACCATGCTTAGTTACCAAAGTCACTAATTGATGTTGTTTTCAGGACTCTTATTTTAATGAGTTGACTGCACGGATGGCATAGTGGTTTAAGCGACTTCACCGCTTCCTACTACGCTGAATGTTATGGGTTCATTCCCCACTTGGGACCACACTTTGTGAGCTCTACAAATTGTGGTTCTGAGTCTTGGTGTTCTTTGTAACTGTCTAATAGGTGTTTGTGAAGTCACTATATATTCCTATTGCCGGAGTTAAGGGAAGGAAAAAATTAAGGTAACTCATTTTACTGTATTTGGTAGCCCCGGGGAATGTCAGTTACGTATTCTCGAAAGGGTAAGGGTGCACTAATAGTCATTAATTGGAGCAAGAAACGTGTAATATTCTATCCCAAAAAATAATGGAATAACCAACTTTTAAATTAGACACATACATACACGTACATATATATCTAAAATAACTGTATGATGGTATTGAAAAAAGTGGTACAACTCGATTAGTCTTTCATAAATATGAAACTTTCAATATTAAACTGACATCCAATAGCTACAAGTATGTGTTAAAACTCCAAATATCGAAGGTAAAGCTCTCACTTCGTAACATTTTCTTTAAATGTCAAACGAGAAATAAAAATAAATAAAAAAAAGAAACCTTTAAATAATTATATTACAAGATATTCAATTTTAACGTTCTTCTCAAGTACTTGATACCTCTGCGTCTCGTTTTAAACGTTACTTTCTACGAATGGGAGAAATAAACAACACGGTTTACTGTAATAAAGAAAATATGGTGTACGTAACAAGGAATAAAATAAAACTATATTATACAAAATCGAATGAATCTTCAGAAGAAATGGTTCGTCGTCAACCAGCCTTCATCCACCTGTCTATGGAGTACTCCAAAGCCGCCATCCATCTGAAAAAGGAACCATATTTAAAAAATTAAAGTACTTTTAAAATACACCCTACTAAATATTGTTCTTATTTAGTAAGGTGTATGTAATAATCTGGTGTATTATATACATTACAAGCGATCCACCCCGATTCGCTATTGCGCAATCCAGATACTATTACGATTTTGCTGTCAGAGTGGAGTACTTAATTTTACTATTATTATGATAAGATTATTCTACAGGCCGTCTGTATATACAACATTTATAGGCCCGCTCAGCTCCTGTTGGCCGTTACCACCCGGGACGGACGTACGGCACGACGACGCGGCTACGGCAACGGCCACGTCGGCCCCGTATTTTAAATCTCCAATATCTACTAAGATATTTCCTTTAATGATATATGCAGTTAAAGGCAATTTTTATCTACATTAAATGCACAAAGTATCAAATATATTTATTTCAAAAGTTCAAAATAACTTTGTAAATTACTTTTTTTTTTAATATATAAAAAGAATTGTTGCTCTGGGTTATCTTTGGGAGATAGACATACGCCATTCGGGATTTTATTCTAGATCTTTTTGAGATATATAATTCCGTAATACATTATTTTTATCTATCTTGTAATGTTTAGTCAGCATTTGCAATGTAAGCGCACAAAAACATGTTTGTTACGACCAATCTTAGAAATTCTCGAATTTTCTCTGTTATGATATGCATATATTCTACATATAAACCTTCCTCTTGACTTAGTCTCTCTATTGACGAAAACCGCATCAAAACCCGTTGCTTAGTTTAAAAGATCTAAGCGTGCAAGAAAAAGCGACTCTATTTTATACTATGTAAAGATTATATAATTAAAAATAAAGAAAAAAACGTGTGTAAAATACGAGACGAATACGGAGTATTACCACTCCTATTCATACCGTGGGTGTGGTAAGAGCAAACAACGCTGGACACCAGCACTGCTAAGGGGAGGAAAACTTGATACAGGGTTTGTGTCAAGTTTGCCTGGTTTGTGTCAGAACAACCCGTCTGGCCAGTGAGCCAAGCGAGCAAATCCTCCTTTCTAATGAGAGGGCTATCCGGCAGTGGACTATGAAAGGCTGAAGATTTGATGTGATATGATGTACTACGTTATTACGTGAGTAATTAGGGACGTATTATCATTCTCATTAGGTGATTTAAAAAATGTCTACGTATCATAAAAAAACGGCACCCTTACCCTTTTTATTTTTTGCTCGTGTACTATACATTACATAAATAAAATTAACAGGCCTGTGGTCCCGGATTGATCACAATCAAGACAGATGACTGACAAAATTAGCCACATATATAGAGCCATCCATGAATTCCTTTTTAGGCCATGTTAAATTATTGGTATAAATAAGATTAACGTATTCACATAAGAACAGGGTGAACGGTAATAATTATTTTTATATTAAATGTCCGTCTAAATAAGGTACATTATTTGAAAGAACAACAACCTACTTTATTCTTAGGCAGTGGTGACTCCAATTAATAATATGCTAATAGTAATACACATCTCACACACGGCCGTCTGATCCCGAGCCTGTACTATGGTAACCAGACTGCTGATAAATATAGTTTTGTATTTATAAATACATACATATTATTATAGATAATCTATACATAGAGACAGAACAAGTGATCATCACACATTTTTTTTTCTTTTATTTAAATCTTTATTGTACACCACTGCAGTATTATTTGTACAGATAATTATTTGTCCTGGGTGGAAATCAAACCCACAACCTCTGGTTTAGCAGTCAGGGTCATTATCTACTAGACCAACAGGCCCGTCGATCGGTCGGCTAATCTAATTGGTTAAGATACCCAATCACATATCTGATGCGCACAGGATGTCCTCCAACAGATAAGTTTGAGTTCCCACATGAGAAGAAACTAGTCTTTAAATTAATTATAAAATATTTAGTCTTCACGTCAATCTTATTTACGATACATTTTTCGTATAGTTAATGTTTTGAATTTCATTTCACGATAAAATATCGTAACTGACACAACAGTTTGTTCAAGAAATAAAAATAATATTATGAAGTTTGAAGCTACTAGACTTAAAACTTTGCTTGTTAAAAACGAAGATACTAAATTCATTTTTTTTATGGAATCATAAGCGCGTTGCCAGCCCTTGAGGAAGGAGTAGGCTCTTTTTTTGAAGTTTTGAAGGTCGTATCGGTCTGGAAATACCGCAGCCGATAACTTGTCCCACAGGTTGGTAGTGCGAGGCAACAAGTGTCTTGAAAAGCTCACAGGGGTGGAACGCCAATAATCCAAGTGGTGTGGATGAAAATTTTGCCTTGTGGAACTTTGTTGAAAGGTTGCGGCCGGTATTAGTCCGAACAATTTACACATTATAGCACTATACGACGTAATAGCACAGGGCTGAGTAAAACAGGGCATCCCAGTTTGATGGAAGGTTCTAGTACAGGTCAAACTTTATTGCCTTATCCTTGATCTCTGCGTACTTTAAGTACTAATACCGCCTTAGTGAGCATTGTCTCCTGTGAGCATTTTACGAAATAAACTGCATACCAAAATATACAAATACACGCTCATGCCTCTATCCCCGAAAGGTTAGATGGAGGTATATAAACAAATAGACTTTGCCAACTCTAATTTTAGTAGCAGTTACTTTATCATCATTATCAACAGCCTTTAGTAGTCCACTGCTGCACATAGGGCTCTCCTTAGATAAGTGGTTTTGGACTGCTATACCACGCTGGCCAGACGGGTTTTTTTATAGGGTTTGTTTTAAGTTTTCCTTCTCTTCGCAGTGCTGTTATTCTGCGTTGTTTGCTCCCTTAGTCGGCTCTTACGACACCCACGGGATGAATAGGGGTGGTGACACTCCGTATTCGTAATCCGTCACCACACCTTACGTAATTGAGGCCATTAGCTTTAACAAGGCACTTTAAAGATTATATAAACAAATTGGGATTATCTTGAACATAAATATTTTCTTTGGAAGTGGTATGAAAGGAATATTGCTTATACGTGTCATCATCCTCCGATTATTTTCACAAACTAGGTTGAGGTCGGCTTTCAGTATACTACGACACGGTTTAGATCACCAACTACCTTGAAAATTCCGAGCCTTCTAACCGAAATTATTATAATAATGTTGAATACTAATACATTTATGATAATAGGAGCAATAACTCGACATAATATGTTATTCACATATTATAGACAAAAGATAATATAGTATATAAAGTTTTATGAAAATGCGATAAAAGGTGACAAACTTAATATTGGATAATAACGACGTACTATTCGAAGGTTATTTTCAATGACCGTCACAATATTGATAAGGTTCTCCCACGAAGCTCTTTGAGATCAAAAATTTATTTAGGCTGATATACGAGTACAATTCGCCACTTGAAACGTATTTTAAAAGGAAGGATGTTTTATAATTAACTAACTTTAAATCCTTTGTGTTCTGTGATACTTATTTATAACCTGCATTAAACGTGATTACAGGCTAACTCTGAAGTCAAGCTGTGACCACGGATAGCGGTCACGGATGGTAGTAATTTCAAAGATAGGTATATAAGATGATCACCTTCCCTATAAAATCCCTAGAAGAAGATTTTTTTATTATGCGCGTTTAAAGATGTGCGTAACCCACTTTGACTCGTTTCGCATGTTTTGCGTAGCTTGAAGACCCTCGCAGCTTCCGCGCCGCTTTTTGCCTACTCTATAAAGTACTTTTTTGACTTAGGACCGACTTCAAATAGACTAGAAGTTATCTATTGCTATTCTAATGTTACCTGTTGTATTGAGGGTTGCATTCTTTTTTGTTATTGCAATTACATTTGCAATTTTTATTTTTTTATTTTTAGTGTTTTTCTTAATATTGTTTAAAGTCGGTTCTACTTATTTTTTTTAAAGGATTTATTAAAATATTATTTTCTTTAGAGATCGAATTTCTATCTTTAGAGCATTTATTCAGAAGTATGACTAAGGCCGTACAACTTATGTAATACTTAATCGTTCCACATTCAAAAGTTCAATTATTATAAACTGGAACGGCATAACGACTAGCATTGTTGCTAAGGACAGGCTTAACAAGCTTTTATTGTATATATCGCCTTGATTTTTATTTCTATAAAAACAAGATGATTGCCTTTGGTTTTAAAAATGGGATTCTTCTGCATACCTATGTTTATGATTCTTTTTTCAATATTAGCAATACATACAATTTTGACACATTAACATGTATAAAACTTATTTCACTTACAATTTACATATTGTTTAGACCTATACTATAATTATTAAAAACCTAGGGCATATTATGCATCGCTTGGCTTGAGGGCTACTATGAGTTTTAGAAAACTGATAAAGGTACATACATTTTTAGAAATATATACATATTATACGCCTATTATAAATATATACATATATATATATATAATTTAGTACTTATCATAGAAATGAAGGCAGCGTTTGTTTATTAAAGTTAAATTGTACCTAATTGAGGTGTTGTAACTTTTATTCATTATACCCATTTCAATTTTTATCAGCTTCGTCTAACTTGAAGTAAAAAGCTTTACTAACAAATCCCAAGAGTCAGACCTCTATCTCATTGAGCCCTCTTTTTTTTTTTTTTTTTAACGTGTGGAAATCCCCTCGGTCCGTCACCCCTCCGGGGTTTGCGGCGGGATGGTGTGTCGGACTAGGACCGACTAAAACCACACGGTGTGCCACTCTGCGCCTGTAACAGGAGGGATCCGGGAACAGCTGTTGTTAAGACATCCGGACCCCTCCTAGCGCCAGCCCGCTCCTGGTGCGGGCTCCGTCTCAACATATTTTCCTCTCTTTAGGCGACGTCCGGCACACGCGGACGCCGCCCCCTCGCGGCTGGCCAAACTAATGCGGGTGGAGGGGAAACCCACCCCGTCCACCCGCGGCCACACTCAGGGCGGCATGAGGCTGTGATAGGCGGGCCTCCGCCGCCCGGTTCGCCGGCGGCGGATCGGGTCCGAGTGGAGGTCGTCCTCCCGGGCCCTCTCCGCCGCCTCCTTCCGCGAGATTACTACCTCGCAGAAGGTTGCGACCGCGGTAAAACAACTGTCGCTACCGGCAATGGAGCGTACTACGGCCGGTAGCGAGAGATCCACTCCGATGACTGCAGTGAGGGCCCGGCGCTGCGCCGCCCATGCTGGGCAGACCGCCAGCGTGTGCTGGGCCGAGTCCTCACTGCAGTCGCAGTGGTGGCAGGCGGGACTCAGTTCCCTCTTAGCGACCGTGTGCAGGTACTTTCCGAAGCAACCGTGCCCGGAAAGCACCTGCGTCAGCCGGAAGGAAAGGGTCCCGTGCTGCAGCCCTGCCCACTCGGCGATGACCGGCTGGAGAGCCTCCACGGCGGCGAAGCCAGCGCGTGGAGTCTCCAGCCGGAACGACCAACGAGCCATCGTTCCGTAGAAACGGTGCGGTAACCGCGTATGGCTCTGACCGCCATTACCCTCTGAGGGCGCCAGAGGCGTACCCTATTCTGGGCGGTCAGAGCCGCCGCCCACACCGGTGCACCGTACAGTGCCATTGACCGGACAACCCCCGTGTACAGCCGTCTTGTCGCGACGCTGGGTCCACCCATATTGGGCAAGAGTCGCCCTAGGGCAGACGCAGCGCCGACCAGCTTTGGAGCAAGCTGTCGGAAGTGCTCGTCGAAGAGCCACCTCCCGTCGAGGATCAGGCCCAGATATTTCATCTGGGCCCGAACCGGTACGAGGACCGAGTTGACCACGATTGAGGCGCCAGGGGGTGGACCACGACGGGGCCCATGAAATAACAGGGCCTCCGTCTTATCTAGGGCCACCCGTAAGCCAGCGCCTCAATGCGCCCGACCACCAGGGAGACTCCCCCTGTGGCCAGGCGCGCCGCCTCTTGGAAGTTTGCCCCCCGGGCTGTCACCAGGGTATCGTCTGCGTAACAGATTACACCCAGCCCGGGGGGGAAATCGGCGCGAAGGGCCCAGTCGTACCCTATGTTCCACAAGAGGGGTCCAAGAACAGACCCCTGTGGAACACCGCACGACATGGGCCGACACCTCAGATTACCTTCTCGGTCCTCGTACACGACGGTACGCTCCTCTAAATAGTCTGCCACTAGCCGCCTCAGGTACTTTGGCACCCCATGATAGTGGAGTGCTTCCCTGATGCAGCTGAATGGCAGACCATTGAATGCGTTGGCGATGTCTAATGACACCGCCAACAGCACGCCGCCACAGCTCACGGCCTCTTCGGTCACGGCCCTCAGGCGCAACACGGCGTCGACTGTCGAACGCCCCGCCCAACCCTCTAAGTGAACCTTCGCACTGTTTCCATGTCGTGAGAACGAGCGATAGATCATATTTCCATGACAATACTGCACTTCAAACTTCCATGTCAAGTAGAAGATCACTGTTGCTAAACACTCGAGCGGGCTAGTAGCCCTTGTGGGATCCTTGCGTGGGTTTCCATTTCTATACCACTAGGGATGCCAACAAGCAGCGCTGGAGTACTGGTACTTTAATGTCATTTTTATTTTCTTGAATTGTTTTATTTCAATTGTAAAGAATCTTAAAAAAGAAGTGAAGACAAAAAGCTTAATTAAAGATTAATCACTAATATTTGAAAACATGTATGTATTTTACTACAATCACAATTTACATTAAGTTTCTCTTATATTGTGAGTGTATGTTCTTAAGTCCACGAATAAATGTTTTTCTTTCTTTCACTCGATGAAAACCATCAAAATATGAAAGCATACATTTTGAAAAATCAAAAGATTTTCGTTTTAAGTCTAATAACTGGTTTTGTTTATTATAATCCGAAGACCTTGTAAAGCAAAAACAATAAGTCAATACAATCTTTAAATTATAAGAAAATACTTTAAGCATGTACCTAAAAACTACAAAAAATCTATAAATATTCAAGTAAATGTTGTACAAACTCTTGTGTCTTACCGTTTCCTATCCATCTCTGACTCAGTGTGGAAGTAAAAATGTCTTTGCTTAGGTTCTGTAGGCATAACTTCAAACGCGAATTTCTTCCCACCTGGCGCGCATGTCTGTATTCTGTAGCCGTGAAGACATGCCATACCTTTAACAAAATGTAAGTAAGTAAAAAACAAAATTTCAGCATATTTTTATACTACGTATTCACTAACTCTTTCTTAGTAAGGCCCTTGCCTTCTTAATACAACTGACACGTGCTGCGCAAATAATTTGGTCTAGAAGAGTAACAATGAATGAACGAAAAGAATATATCTCGTCCATAAGTAATTTCATCACAACACATATAGGGATTAAACTGCCTCATAGAAAAGGTGTACTTTAGTAAAAAATCTGTAATCACACCTTTTTTTCACAACTGTGTTCGAATAGTTTAGAAGAATGCTTAGTACATTCAAACATATTTTGTTCGATTGGAGTGGCAAGTCACGGTTCATTGACACATAGTGAGTGGATATGAACCGCGTAGGAAACTTATATCATGTACATCCAATATTATATGTGATAAGACAGTTCTATTGCTTCAAAGTTTGACTTTGCGTAGTTTGTTTTGTACAGTGACTTGTTTGATATTCCCTGACATGGACTATGGAACACGATCCAGTCAGTGTATTAAGAAGTTGTAATATTATAAAAGTGAAGTTATCCGTCTGTTTCTAACTACTTCACGTCTTAACTACTCGAATTAATTTTAAATACAAAATTATTTTCATCCGTAAAAAAGGAAACAAAATACTTTTTACGGTGCCATAGGCGCAAGCTTGTATAGTATAAAATATATCAGGACATTTAATGTACAACGAGTTTGAAAAAAATAACTAATAGGCTTATACTAAGATAAAAATGTACATTTTTATAATAAATACATAATGTGCATAGGTGGTAATACCTAAATTACTAAATTAAGACTTACATGCACTGTGAAACAATTAAACCCACATATAGAAGTGAAACACTTGCCACTGCGTACGAGCTAGTCGTGGTGTGCTTACAACTTACCAAATGCATTTTTGCTATTCCCATCATTATAGAAGTAAAGGCAGGCGTCTTTGAGTACGCAGTAACGCTTGGCCCAAGATTTCCATTTGGAGCCAAGTTTCATTAGATAACCGAAGCAATCTGGCCTGGGGATCGACGATGGTGGCAGTTTCATATTCCGCATGGTTACTTCGAGCCAACCATCTCGCTGAAAAAATCGAAAGAAATCGTATTTAGAGTAACAGATTTACATAATTTCCTGTAATTATGTTTTTGAGTTTGAGAATACGTTTTCCTCAAAGCTGATTTGGTAATTACTTTGTGGAAATATATTTTTCGTTTTTTCTATATTACTTATTCTTAAGAAAATAACCTTACATATTATACGTTTTGTAATTACTCACGTGACAGGTTTAAGAATGAATTACACATGGATAGATTCTAAGTATTCCTTTTCTAATGAATATATCTCATCATATCACATTACATCAACAGCCTTTAATAGTCCATTGCTGGACATAGGCTTCTCCTTAGAAAGGAGATTTTGGCTTACTATACCACGCTGGCCACACGGGTTAGTATAGGGTTTGGGGTGCTGGGCTAGAAAACCTCCTCGTGGTGCACCCTGGAAACGCTGGCGATGGTACTGTTTCCTCCTTGTCCTCTTGGAGGAGAGGATTATCGCCAGCGGCCAATATTCTAGCAGAAGAGGCAGCCGTTCATCGGCTCTCGGGCAAGGCCTGGTCCAGCAGGGTGGGCGTGTCTGCCGGTTGCCCTGCTGGCTCTTCGCTCTTCGGAGCATGGAGGAGGAAACCTCGGTAAAAAACCTGATGGCGGGGCCCTGTAGGGGCCACAGTTTCTCCGCTGACAGCGGTGGAGAAAGGAGGACGGGCTCGGCGTGTACTCACACTACCACCGAGCAGGCAGGGGGACGTAGTCTCCCTGTCAACCGTCGGCATATCGTAATCCTGAGAAGAGCGCTGTGGTTAAGTCTCGCGGCTCTGATCGGGGGCGAGGGTCTTGGCTTAACCGCCCGGACCGCGAGGAAGATAACCTCTCTAAAAAAATTCCCCGAATCCCGTGTTCTGGTGCGTGGCCAGGGGATGCATGGCTGATGGGAAGTTCAGTCGCGAGCGCACTCCAAGCCGAGGTACCTGCGGACCCCTCGGTTGGGTTAAAAACTTACGCTTGCCCGGGTAATGGGGGATCTCTGCCCGGGTGGACCTTTAGTTCTCCCCCACTCGTGGGATTAAATATGGAAAAAATTCAAAACCTTAAAACACAAAAAACGATCGGAAATAACCAACAACAGAAGGCAAGTCTAACGGAAACGAAGAAAACGAAGGGAAGGAAGGAGAAGCAGAACAGTGGAGCGGATGGGTCGTCCACTGAGGGTGAGGTGGCGTCGGGGACGCCTATCTCTATGGGGCTCCCAGAAGTCAGTCTGACGCTGGTCTCTGGGAGCCGAAGAGCATCAGATCGGCTGCGCTCCGGATCCGCCGTTTCGTCGGATGGCGCTGACGCCATGGAGGCGGAGCGAAGCGACAGCCGGAAACGAGGACGCTCCAGGGACGAGGAAACCGACACGTCCCAGGAGATGATGCCACCGAAGGTGGCAAGCAGCCGCCGAGGGAGGGCACGCAAACCTGCCTCGGCCCCGGTCTCGACCCCGTCAGGCTCCGCGTTCTCAAACGCGGAGTCGTACAGGAATGTACGAGTGGACGGCGAGGCCGTAGCGGAGGAGGAGATCGCGGATCTCCTGCTCAAGGTTCGGGAGCCGGTGGGGGGAAATGCCCCCCAGGCTTCCGTGTCCGTGCAGGAGAGGGCGAAAGCGGCGGTGGCCGTCATCCACAAGGTGGCCACCAAGTCCGTGAACCTTAAGGGCTCGTTTGTGAGGGCCCTTAAGGACTCCTCCTCCGCTTTGTCGGAGGTCGTGGAGAGCCTAGTGGGCGATGTGTCTCGCCTGCAGGTGGCCAACGAGAGGCTGACGGAGCGGGTGAACGAGCTGAGCGCTCAGTTCGCCCGCTTCCAGGCGAACCTCCCCGAGCGGGAAGCCCCGTCCGCGTCCCAGCCTGCCCCTACTACCAACTCAGGGGCATTTGACTCCCAACTGCGAGAAATCCTCATCGCAGTTGGGAATATGCTGGACGGACGCCTGGCTGGCCTGGAGGCGAAGATTGCCTCCTGCGCCGAGTATGCGCCCCCCCGCTCGCGTCGACACAGCGGCCTAAGGCCGCCGCTCCGACCGCGCTCCCCGTAGTGGGAGGCCGCGTCTCTCCTACGCGGCGGCGGCGTCTGCCCCGACTTCCATCGGCTCCCCAAAAGCCGAGGTAGGGGGGCCAAGGCACCGGCCCAGGCGCCGGCCCAAGGCGCAGGCCAAAGTGCCGGCCAAGACGGGGGCCTAAAAACGGCGCCGAGGAGCGGAGTGGCATTCCCTCCGCTCCCCACTCCGACACCCCTGCCGGGCCCCTCCGCACCTGCCCCCTCCAACGAGGGCTGGCAGGAGGCGAGGGGCTCCAAGAAGTCCCGAAGGCGGGCCAGAAAGGGCTGCCCAAAAAGCAGCCCAAGCCCAGCCTTCGCCACCGGTGGCAACGGCCTCTGCAAAGAGGCCGCGGAAGCTGCAGCCGCCCAAAACCGCGGCTGTAGTGGTGACCGTATCCCCGGAGGCGGCTGACGGCGGGCTGTCCTACGCGGCCGTTTTTAAAAAGGCCCGGGACAGCCTCGCCAACGACTTCGGGACGGTGGGGGTCAGGATGCGCCTCGCCCAAACGGGAGCTCGAGTTCTCGAGTTCCCAGGGGCTGAAAGGCGCCAAGACGGCGGACACTTTCGCTGAGAGGCTGCGGGGGTTTTATTCGCGGCCACAGATGGTGTCAAAGATCGCCAGGCCTACCAAGTGCGCGGAGCTGCGCATCTCGGGCCTGGACGACTCTGTGACGGCCGAAGATGTCCGCGCTGTAATCCGGGAGAAGACGGGGTGCAGCGCGGACAACGTCAGGGTCGGCACCATCCGCCCGGTCCAGGGGGGCTTGGCGCCGTGTGGGTCAGCTGTCCCGTAGCGTCGGCCAAAGTATTGGCCGACGCCGGCAGGCTGCTCATCGGTTTCGTGAGCGCTAGGATCACAGTCCTGGCGGCGAGACCGATGAGGTGTTACAAATGCCTAGCATCGGGGCACACGCGCGTCAAGTGCCAAAGCTGCTTCGACTGCAGCGGACTATGTTTCCGCTGTGGTCGACCGGGGCATGTGGCGGTGGAATGCTCTGCCGCCCCTCACTGCCCGGTGTGTGCGGCGGGTAACAAGCCCGCCAATCATCAGATGGGGCAAGGGGGCTGCAAGCCTCCCCGCAACTCTCAGCAAGCATCGGGGGCTAGCCAGTCGACCCAGGCTGCCTCCGATGTAGTTCGTGCGTCGACGTCGTCGCCCATGGAGGAGGCTGTAGAGACGATCCAGTAATGGATCGGGTCTCCAGCCTCCTGGTCCAGACGAACCTGAACCACTGTGCCGCGGCGCAGGATCTCTTCCTGCAAACCATGGCACAGTGGTCGATAGGTGTTGCCGTAGTCGCGGAGCCCTATTCTGTCCCTCCCCGTCCAAACTGGATGGGTGACTGGGACGGCTCCGTGGCAGTCGTCGGTTCCACGACGGCTCATTCCCCGCCCTTGTCGCTAAGAGACAAGGGCACTGGATATGTTTGCCGTCGAGTGGGGGGGGATCACCATATATGGTGTTTATTTCTCCCCCAACCGGAGTTTGAACGACTTCGAGGTTTTCCTAACCAGCTTGGAGACCTCGATACGGCGACTAGCGTCTGGGCACGTCCTTGTGCTGGGGGACTTCAACGCAAAGTCCATTGCGTGGGGTTCCCCCAGGACGGACGCAAGGGGCGAGGCCGTAGAGGAGTGGGCGGCCTCGGTGGGCCTCTGTCTTCTAAAACAGAGGCTCCACCAACACGTGCGTGCGACAGCAGGGGGGGGTCGATAGTGGACCTCACCGTTCGCTACCCCTGCCCTCGCCGCACGAGTAAGGAACTGGTGTGTCCTGGAAGAGGTTGAGACGCTCTCGGATCACCTGTATATCCGATTTGAGCTCTCCCGGACCCAGGACTCCAGTAGGGGTCACGTGGCGCGGCGTTTATCCCGCTTCCCGCGGTGGGCTGTTGCCAGACTGAACCGGGACCTACTAGAGGAGGCAGCCATAATTCACTCGTGGCTGTCTCCTCAGGCTCCGACCGAGGAGGTCGACGTGGGGGCTGGCCGCTTTCGCGATGCGATTACGCATATCTGCGATGCGGCCATGCCCCGCATTCGAGGTCGTCGGCCTCCAAGGAAGGAGGTCTACTGGTGGTCCCAGGAGCTGGCGGACCTCCGTGCGGCCTGTACACGTGCCCGGAGGTCCTACACACGCAGTCGGCGGCGTCACCGTGGAGACGGTGAGGAGGACCGGCTTCATGAGGAGTACCGGCGGGCGCGGAAAACTCTGAAGCTGGCCATTAGCCGCGCCAAAGAGGAAAAGAGACAGGAGATGCTGGAGGGTCTTAATCGTGACCCCTGGGGTCGCCCTTACCGCGCGGTGCGACAAAAGCTCCGCGCGTCGGGCCCCCCCCTTACGGAGACTCTCCAGCCCAGCTTCCTGCAGGAAGTGGTCGAGGGCCTATTCCCGCAGCGGGCGGAGCACACACCCCCGTCAATGGCTGCATCAGCCGGAGACGACGGGGTCAGCGAGGTCGATGTTCCGCCCGTCAGGGAATCGGAGTTGGGGGCGGCTGTTCTACGGATTCGATCCAAGAACACCGCCCCCGGGCCGGACGGGGTTCCAGCCCGAGTGATGGCCCGAGCCCTCGACTACATGTCGGACCACCTCAGGGGGGTGTTGGACGCTAGCCTGGCGTCCGGACGCTTCCCTGAGTGCTGGAAATGCGGGAAGCTGGTCCTGCTGCAGAAGCCGGGACGGCCTGCCGATTCGGTCGCGGCCTATAGGCCCATCGTGCTGCTGGACGAGGCGGGCAAATTGTTTGAGAGGGTTCTTTCTGCCCGCATCGTCCGGCACCTCTGCGAGGTGGGCCCCGATCTGTCGGACGCCCAATTTGGTTTTCGGGCGGGGCGTTCGACAGTCGACGCCGTGTTGCGCCTGAGGGCCGTGACCGAAGAGGCAGTGAGCTGTGGCGGCGTGCTGTTGGCGGTGTCATTAGACATCGCCAACGCATTCAATAGTCTGCCATTCAGCTGCATCAGGGAAGCACTCCACTATCATGGGGTGCCAAAGTACCTGAGGCGGCTAGTGGCAGACTACTTAGAGGAGCGTACCGTCGTGTACGAGGACCGAGAAGGTAATTTGAGGAGTCGGCCCATGTCGTGCGGTGTTCCACAGGGGTCTGTTCTTGGACCCCTCTTGTGGAACATAGGGTACGACTGGGCCCTTCGCGCCGATTTCCCCCCCGGGCTGGGTGTAATCTGTTACGCAGACGATACCCTCGTGACAGCCCGGGGGGCAAACTTCCAAGAGGCGGCGCGCCTGGCCACAGGGGGAGTCTCCCTGGTGGTCGGGCGCATTGAGGCGCTGGGCTTACGGGTGGCCCTAGATAAGACGGAGGCCCTGTTATTCCATGGGCCCCGTCGTGGTCCACCCCCTGGCGCCTCAATCGTGGTCAACTCGGTCCTCGTACCGGTTCGGGCCCAGATGAAATATCTGGGCCTGATCCTCGACGGGAGGTGGCTCTTCGACGAGCACTTCCGACAGCTTGCTCCAAAGCTGGTCGGCGCTGCGTCTGCCCTAGGGCGACTTCTGCCCAATATGGGTGGACCCAGCGTCGCGACAAGACGGCTGTACACGGGGGTTGTCCGGTCAATGGCACTGTACGGTGCACCGGTGTGGGCGGCGGCTCTGACCGCCCAGAATAGGGTACGCCTCTGGCGCCCTCAGAGGGTAATGGCGGTCAGAGCCATACGCGGTTACCGCACCGTTTCGACGGAGGTGGCATGCGCATTGGCCGGAACTCCCCCGTGGGATTTGGAGGCGGAAGTGCTCGCCGAAGTTTATCGGCGAGTGGCTGACTTCCGGGCGGAGAGCGGATTTCGGCCCTCCGCCCGAGGATGTGCTGCGAGTGGCGCGAAGCCGCTCGCCGAGCCACGATGGCTCGTTGGTCGTTCCGGCTGGAGACTCCACGCGCTGGCTTCGCCGCCGTGGAGGCTCTCCAGCCGGTCATCGCCGAGTGGGCAGGGCGGCAGCACGGGGACCCTTTCCTTCCGGCTGACGCAGGTGCTTTCCGGGCACGGTTGCTTCGGAAAGTACCTGCACACGGTCGCAAGGAGGGAACTGAGTCCCGCCTGCCACCCACTGCGACTGCAGTGAGGACTCGGCCCAGCACACGCTGGCGGTCTGTCCCCGCATGGGCGGCGCAGCGTCGGGCCCTCACTGCAGTCATCGGAGTGGATCTCTCGCTACCCGGCCGTAGTACGCTCCATGGCCGGTAGCGACAGTTGTTTTACCGCGGTCGCTACCTTCTGCGAGGTAGTAATCTCGCGGAAGGAGGCGGCGGAGAGGGCCGGGAGGACGACCTCCACTCGGACCCCGATCCGCCGCCGGCGAACCGGGCGGCGGAGGCCCGCCTATCACAGCCTCATGCCGCCCTGAGTGTGGCCGCGGGTGGACGGGGTGGGTTTCCCCTCCACCCGCATTAGTTTGGCCAGCCGCGAGGGGGCGGCGTCCGCGTGTGCCGGACGTCGCCTATAAAGAGAGGAAAAACATCGAGACGGAGCCCGCACCAGGAGCGGGCTGGCGCTAGGAGGGGTCCGGATGTCTTAACAACAGCTGTTCCCGGATCCCTCCTGTTACAGGCGCAGAGTGGCACACCGTGTGGTTTTAGTCGGTCCGAGTCCGACACACCACCCCGCCGCAAACCCCGGAGGGGTGACGGTCCGAGGGGATTTCCACACGTTAAAAAAAAAAAAAAAAAAGGGTTTGTGTGAAGTTTTCCTTCTAGCAGTGCTGTTTTCTTGCGTAGTTTGCTCCTCTTGCAAATGTACATGTTATTTTAGATATTTGTCCGTCTGGCACAATATTACAAACTATTTACTATTCAATATCAGTTCATCAGTTGCCATCTAATAAACATAAAACCTTGATAACTCAATGATAATTTTTTGCTGATTAATAGCTTGGTAGGTACCTACTATTCAATTAAGGCGTAGTGCTCTTGTTTTCATTGTGCTTATTGTCATTATCCGCTTAGTACAAAAGTGAAAAAAACTCTTGGGTCGCCTGGGTAATCGATTAAAAATACTTACATTACACGTTATAATTAACCGTTAAATTATTTCTCTCTTATATCGAGCAACATACATTTTATAGACAAAGCTTCTTTATTGACGGCTCATGGCACGACTGCTCGACAAAAATGTAACCAATATTATCAAGCATTAATAACAAACCAGAAATATTAAGAACGATTCTTATCATAAAAACAGAATACAAATAGTACAGGCAGGTACAAAAGACTCACTCCGAAAAATCCTTTAACTAAATAGTTACCGACTCTTGCTTTGACAAAATAAAGAGCAATTCAGGTGCTAATACAGTTATTTTCATAAGAAAATTTACTCTCTTTCCATCATGCAGGAAGTCTTAAGTTTTCTGTAAATTATGAGATCTTTTAATGAATAATTTAATCTGAATTTTTAACTCTAATTTTGTGAATGTTTCCTATTTTTTCACAATAGTTGGGTAATGTGTGGCTAGGCTCTAACTCTGGGACGAGATAGTAATCTGAAGTGTCGGCTCATGTCGTGCGGTGGTTCGCAGGGGTCTGTTCTTGGACCCCTCCTATGGAACATAGGGTACGACTGGGCCCTTAAAGTTGATTTTCACCCCAGGCTGGGTGTAACTTGTTACATCGGCGTAACAAATTACAGATAGATTAGATACATTGGTTACAGCCCGGGGGGTGAACTTCCAAGAGGCGGCACGCCTGGCCACCAGGAGACTCTCTCTGGTGGTCGAGCGCATTGAGGCGCTGGGCTTATGGGTGGCCCTGGACAAATACGAGGCCCTCTTATTTCATGGGCCTCGTCGTGGTCCTCCCCCTGGCGCCTCAATCGTCGTCAACTCGGTCCTCGTACCGGTTCAGGCCCAGATGAAGTATCTGGACCTGATCCTCGACGGGAGGTAGCTCTTCGACGAACACTTCCGACAGCTTGCTCCAAAGCTGGTCGGCGCTGCGTCTGCCCTTGGGCGACTTTTGCCTAATCTAGGTGGACCCAGCGTCGCAACGAGACGGCTGTAGACGGGGGTTGTCCGGTCAATGGCACTGTACGGCGCACCGGGGTGGGCAGCGGCTCTGACCGCCCAAAATAGAGCACGCCTTTGGCGTCCTCAGGGGGTATTGGCGATCAGAGCCATACGTGGATACCGCACCGTGTCGCAGCGTGCACGTTGGCCGGAACTCCTCCGTGGGCTTTGGAGGCGGAAGTGCTCGCCGAAGTATATCGGCGGACGACTGAGTTCCGGGCGGTTAGCGGCAGTCAGCCCCCGCCCGAAGAAGTACGCGAGTGGCGCGAAGCCGCTCGTCGAGCCACGATGGCTCGTTTGTCGTCTCGGGTGGAGGCTCCACGTGCTGGTATTCGTACACGAGGGGGTTTCCATAGGTAAAAAAGAAAGAAAGAAGGTTCTAACTAATTCGATAGCCTCAATATGAACAGACGACACGACACGGCTTATGTCCGAATATCGAATCAACGTGCGCTGCGAATCGGCTCGTTAATCAGTACCGAAGTAAAGTGCGACTTAGCCCCACGAGTCGAGCCCCCATAACATGCAGCAGCAGGTCTGCTGTATATTATGGGGGCTTGACTTGTCATAAAATAATAATATATTTCACATCAAATAATACATTTCAAATCATATAAGATGAAATATAATTAAAGAGAATTGCCGGATTCTATATTGGCTGGCAGTGTAGTAAGAATTTATTAAACTGCCATCTAGTACGGAATCCGGAAACTATTACAACTTTGTTAATCGTCGTGTCCACTTTTATTACAGTTTAATTTTCATAGCAGATGTTATTTATATAAAAGTAATAAAAAAATATATTAGGAGAAGGTTTAAAAACAGCTATTTGAAAGTAGGTAATTCAATTTTAAGTACCTGATTACTAGCGTCAATAGCATGAGCGAGGACAGCGCGCCATCTAGCGGATGCTTCAGCGGTGTCGGCAGCGAGTTGTAATCGCACTCCCCCACCTCGGTGTAGACGGAACCCGTTTGGCCTCCCTGCATCTTCTTCGATGAGTTGATAATTCACAAGCATAAGGGCTCCCACTGGATGGATACTCTGTATTCGACATAGATGGCGTTGTTATAAGAATCTGCGTACATGTTATTTTATTAAATTGAGAAAACTGGGTTAAATTAAGTAAAACATGTTCCTTTACGGAACTATGGTCAAGTCTTATACAATAATATTTATCATGGCATTGCGAGTGCCGCGAAGTTGCACAGTAGCCCGTCGTTTATTTACGCGCCACCGCCAATCTTTACACTAAAACACATTCAAAAAGTCTCACGTGAGATTGGGGGATGCTGGAGAGGGTTGAATCAAATTTCACGACATCTCATTAGGTGGGGAGCGGGGGTCAGAAACTCGTCGAAAACCCCTCACGTTATTAATGGACGCCTCCAAGTCTCTCAATCAAGAAAAAGTATATGGATTGATTATAAAGCTGATAACCCAATTGTCAGTGTTAGGACTTATGGCTTTGCTGGCCAACCCGGGATTTGATTACTTTATTTATCAGTAGTGGTCCTAGAGATCGTCATTCGACAGTGATTCATTAATAATTTTTAAAAACAATTAGGTTCCAACTTTAGAGGAATATATTTACTAATTACTTTGACTAATACCTTTTTACATGACAATTAAATCTCATCAATAGCTGCTAAATACTAAAAAAGAAAATGGGTTGTTCTGTAAAGAACAATAAGAAATGACATTTGTGCATTTTTATATGTAGATAGGTATGTAAATACTTACAGAATCTGTTTTATAATAATACAGGCAGTTGTCTCTCTTCAACACGAACCAGCGCCTTGTCCAACGTGGGGGATGATGAGGTTTAATGGGCGCAGCTCTCCATAGATAGCCTGAGTACAATGCAGCGGGGCCACCCTCATGAGCGAGAGATGCTACTACCTCGCATGTCCTTGCGACCTAAAGAAGTGTTAAATACATAATGTATGTACTGAAGGTTAATAGAATATTAGCGTGTATAATTGTGCCTGTAACCTTATGATTGGTGTCTTCGTTTTTTTTTATTCAGTTTAGGTACACACAACGGAACTCAGTACAAAAAGGTTAATAAAAACAAAAAGGTCACGTATAACTTAAAACTTATGTTTTAATCTAACTAACTAGATACAGCATTTATCTGGCCGTCATGATGCGATTGAAGGGGGGAAGTCATTTCCTCTGGGACAGGGCCTAATTAGGCGTGGTGTCGATTCGGGGAGACCTGAAATCACATGGTCCGGTTCTTTCCAGAGTAGGGCGCCTTAGGCCAGCCGTCGGATGATTTTTATTCAAATCACCACATACTCCTGGCTTCTGAGCCCTCAAGGAGCAGGAGATCCGAAGGGATTTTTCACCATTATTTAAATAAAAAAATAGAGAAAGACATGTGATGCGAATTAATGTTAAGATGTTGTAGTGCTCCGATCAGTACATTATTGTAACTACGTTCGACACCCACGAACCACCGGGTTTAACTCTTAGGACGTCGCGGCGCGCGGATGACCTATGACCCGTTACTGTCGCGCCCTTGAACTAGTGACCCAGTCACAGCTGAGCAAAGTCATTATTACCTCAATATCTACGTTATTTTATAATTATATTCAATGAAATAAACATATTTAGAATCCCTGATATATATTCTTCTAAATGTTGTGACAGAGACGCTACCGCGTAAAAATTTGGTGTCACAACTGTTGTGACGTCGGAGGTTAACAACGATCACCATGTACCGACTTAATCTAAACCTTTACTGTCTTACCGTCTGTTCAATATTTCATCATCATCAACAGCCTTTAATTGTCCACTGCTGGACATAGGCCTTTCCTTAGAAAGGAGGTTTTAGCCTACTATACCACACTGGCCAAACGGGTTGGCACGAGTATAGGGTTTGTGTCACAGAATAATAAATAAATTCTTTATTCTTCTTTCTGTGCTTTGTGTCCAGTTTTCCTTCTCTTTGCATTGGCTGTTGTCCTGACTCCTACGTAGATTGCTCCCTTCGTCGGCCCTTTCGACACCCACGGAATAAATAGGGGTGGTGATTCGTATTCTTAATCCGTCACTACACATTCTACATCTAAAGTCTCATTATTATTTAGCACGGCAATACGTATATGTAAGAAATGCTATGCTTTATCATAGTTTACTATAGATAATAAAACTAAAATATTGAGTACAACAAATAGGCGCAAATTGTACTAACTGACTAACATTGTAATATCTAAAATAAGATTGAAAAAATGGGTTACGACGTATAGTATGGTAAGATTGATCTTTAGAGTAGGTACGTAACCGGCACTGGAATGTTCTAATAATATCCAAGTAACATTATGGTTTATTTGCATCCCTAATGTGAGATATAAAGCTTTTAATTTTAAATAGGCAAATTAGTTATTATATTGAGGGCAGCTGTTTTCAGTTTGATGATATAAAAGCAACAAAACAATTATGTAAACTCTAGTTTGTGTTAAACGGTATATAAACGAAGTGATACAGTTCAGATACGTAATAGCAGGTAGGTATACATTGCGATCATAATCCGTCGCCATGTATTTTAACAATTTTTATATTATCTGTAGGTAGTTATGAAGGAAATTAATTGTTATACAAAATATTAGCCTGTATTAAAAACGGTGAAGCTTGTATTAAAAACAAAAATCTGAACAAGTGAGAGTCGGATTTGCCCACCGAGGGTTCCGTACAAATTTGTAGGTAGGTACATGTTATAAATAGTTAAGGCATCGAGTTTTTCTGAGCTTTTCCTGAAATTCAGTTTCAAAAATCTATAATTACTTAAGTACTGTGTTTTATAAGTGAAATTGTAAATAGATGATGGATTGCGTACTTTAAATAAATACTTTTTTTAACTTTAATTCTCGAGATAAAGAGTCTTGAACCCTATAAGGGTTCTGTTTTTTCCTTTTGAGGTACGGAATCCTAAAAAGTTGAGGATTGGGGACAAAGGTAATATTCTTAAAGCGATTTAAATTTGAACTACGATAAATATTAACTAGAATTAGTTAAAATCTAAAAAAAAATTGACTCATTCATCAACACTACGGTCACGTCAACACAAGAATGTTACGAAATATTTACGTAAAACTCCATGTATTATATTTAGTTTCAGTTTTTAGAAGCTGTAAGTAACTTACACTTTTTACAAAAAACAATCAGAGGCCACTCCAGGGATAATTGTAATTTATTTACTACTAAGTAGGTACTGACACATACATGTACTGTCATGTTAGGCCTACCCGCATCTTCAAATACTAATAAATATGCATTGTATGTACATGTACATACTAATTTTGATAACTGTATCAGCACATGTATTGATGCAGATAACATCGAACCTATTGTTGTACCGTATGTCAATGCTTATAAGCAACAATTTACGATACAAATGAACGATGGGACAAGTTGAGTCAGTCATTTGTGTTGTGCATAACTCGATGTAACTGGAATTAAATTTCCCTTCACTGGAGTTTGGCATAAATGGGCAAAACGAAGATAATGGGTAACCGTGGTACGTTTGGAAAGAAACGATTGGATGTCTAACGAATGTAGTAGAATATGCAGCATACACTTTCGAAGTGAGGACAAATGCACGCTTAGTAACGGAATTACGAAACTATTAATTCGAGTTACGCAAATTCAATTCGACTTAAATCGAGTCTCATTTGTTAAAATTGGCACTTGTAAACACAATGGTAAAAAAATAGTTTAAATTCCAACACCATATGACAAAATAATAAAAATATTTGTGTGCCTTATTGTCAACATAAAATTACACTTTTCAACGTATCTTACCTCTAATTCAAGTATTTCAGACCCAGAATGCGCAATCTTCACTACTTCAGAATGTGTTTTATCTAAAACATTGATCCCTGTAAATAAACAAATGATCGATGAATTGATTTATGGATAAATATGACAGATGGATTTATTGGAAAAAAAATTTCATGTAAAACCATAACGAAAATTTGAACGTAAAATATAGTCTATAAGTTATCTAAATTCTTAAAAAAGAGGAAATAACATTAAAACATTGTAAACTTAGTTTTAGCAGCTGCTAATACGAAATCATTGATTTTATTTTTTGTTACTTCTTTTCTGAAATAACTTTAGTTGCAAAGAAATTAAAAAGAAACATAATTATGATTCAAAAAAGAAATATTCAGTATGTAATGGACCGTACACCAACTTATCATTGAAAAGGTTTGTGTGCCTCTTCATATATCATATAGGATATCGAAAATTTAGAATACCTAAAGAAAAATCTTCGCTCACCACAGTTTATTATTTATTTTTGATAGAAATATAATCATTAAAAAAAAAACGGCTTGAGGGGCCTATGGACTCCCGGTTGGAACGAAGTTCCTTTCGCTTTTTGGTAGTTGTCGGTAAAAGGCTTGTTACACATTTGCCGGTCTCGCTCCCATCCGTCCCATCATCAGAGCGTTTAACGCGCTATAAGGAACTTCGTTCCAATAAGGAAATTAATCATTTCGCCATGAGAAATAAAATCAATGCTGTTCTAACAAAGTTAGTTTATATCGAATGTAAATACTTCTTCATATTATTTTTTATGATACACGGATCACCCAATGAAAAGAAACTATCACCGTCCATAGCCACTTTTACCGTAGGTGTTAGAAGTTCTTTTCCGGACATTGAATTCGGCGTAAACTCTTATGTGCGACAATGTGTTCCACATGTTTTTTAAACATATATTTACGGTTTCCGAGTGCTTAGCATATTAAGAGTAACAATATGTTCAAACATACCATTAACAGCTATGACGATATCTCCAACTTCTAATCCTGATGTCTCGGCCGGTGTGTCGGGTTCGATCGCTGACACGACTACTGGCTTGCTACCGTGGATTCGGAACCCAAATTCTTCGTTACCACGTCTCACCACCACTGTTTTGTCACTTTCTAGTAGTAAATAGTAAGATTAAAAAAATGTAACAGTTAGTATTCCTCTTTTACAATCATATCTACCTATTCTTTGAATGATAATATCGAGATTTGATTCACGCTGCAGTTAATAAACAATTTTGTACTTTAGAGGAAGGAGGATACAGGCCCGTCTCTAGACTATTGGAGGCCCTGGGCAAATTAGCTTAATGGGGCCCCTACGAACTCAGTAGAGCACTATTTTGTTAGAATAGAAAAAAAAGTATTGTAGTTAGTCATTACAAATGAATTTTTAAAATAAATATGTTTTTTAGTGATAAATATTGATTTTCGATTGGTGATCTGGCAGGAATCGGGCCCGTATCAATCGAGGGGCCCTGGGCACGTGCCCAGAGTGCCCAGAGGGAAAGAGGGGCCTGGGAGGATGACTTGAACAGTTACTAATAAAAATAAACCCTTTCATGAACTAAGTTTTAGTTAAGTAATCAAAATAAAACGAATTTATGTTTTGTTAAATCATTTGGTTTTTATAGGCTTGTCGCCTTTATTATATAGAACACCTTCCAATCCAATGAACTTCAGTTCCTCTCCAATGTTATTCCGTTTTATCTAAAATAAATGTTTTAGATGAAGCGGAACAGAAACGGAACGCTGTGACTGTTTTCTTCTGCACGTGTTTAAATTCCGATTTTATTCCTTTAATGGTATTATGCATACATCAATATTTTACTGAAACTACGAAGAGCATATTATAAACAAATAAACAGAACATTTTTTGAATACTACATCTACTTCATTCTGGATTTAAATATTACTTTCTTTTGTAGTAAAATGATGTTGGCCTAGAGACGGCAATAAACTTGCGTGAGAAGAATTGGCCATGACACACATTCGCTTTTAAGATGGGCAACCTGTACGTTAAAATGTTTTGCGGAAAGACTTTCGTATTTGGCCATGGTCCAGGAAGAATGAAAATTTTCATTCAATCAATGCAACACTGAATCTGCAGTGCTCTGGTAATTTACTGCAAATGGTTTGATAAAAACTGACGTTATTGAATGTAAATCCATGCCATATGGTCGATTGAAAAGATAATATTTTGAGTGAATAATGCAGTTAATCTAAAGTACATTTATTGATGGTATTCAAATTTAGTAAAATAATTAAGGTTGTTTTGAACAAAAGCAATTGCAAGACCATTTAATCTCTACAAATAAATTTTAAGTAACACAAATGAAGTGGTTCTGTGCAGCAAGATGTCTGAAAATTGGTTGCATTGTTTCAGTATGTCCTAATATTTGAAAAAAAATCGCATTACCACTAGGTTCTGAAGCTAGAAGTCTGTTAATTTGACTCTGTCGACACCATAACATCAGCATTAATTTCAAGATTTCTTCCAATTTCTGTCTCAAACTCCCCACAGACTTCAATTTATCTTTAACTAAAACACAAAATAATAGCAAACGGAAAAATAAAATCAATAATTGAATTCATGAAAGCCAAGAACCCAGTGATTATAAAACAAACTTACATGAATGACCCATTATTTACGGAAAGTGCAACTGTCTATATATGTAGTTCGAACTGACTTCTCACTATATTAACCAAATTAAAATCACTACATAGCAATTACGCCAATTACGTCATTTATCACAGTAATAAGTTTACTGAACTAAAATCAATACGAACTAAACAGTGAACGCCAAACGTATAAATATCATCTGGCCGCAGTAGCGGGTCGTCAACAACTGAAGACTGACGTTCAAATACGCTTCAGGAATTAATTTTAGTTCGCAACAGATCTGTCACTTATAATTCCGAAGTAATTCTGTACCTTTCGCCGATTCACGTTATAATTGTACGGATGATTCATATAAATGGACAAATAAATGTCATTATTTTAAAATCAAGGTCGTAAACTCTTAATGTTAATTTTATCATTACGAATTATGATGTCATACACAACGATATTTTTTTTTCAAGCTTGTAGAAAATATAAACGAAAGAATTCAGGGGACACGCTTAAAATAATAGGTGATGTTATTTAAATAGAGTAACAACTAGAAATAGTTTCAGACGTCACACTTTGCAAGTGGAACGGTTAACTAACTATGCTTTGATAATAGTATGACGCAAAACTGTAATAGTTTACTAGTAGCCGAAAAGGATAAGTAGGTTTATAAACCTAAATATAAACTTTAAAGATACTAATTCGCTTTGTGTTTTTTTTATTTTGTTTATTTAATAAATATCTAGTAAATATTTGTAACCTTTCAGTATAATTAATAAATACTTTCTTTTAGTGATGGTAAATTATTTCTAAATCCATTTTGTTTTGCATTGTTAACAAAATATATCTACCGATATCATTAAATGATTATAATATAATCGATATCTCTTTTATGTAGGACCAGGAAAATAATATATTAGGTTAGGTTGCTTAGTCCTTATCGAAGCCAATGAGAACTTAGATAGTCTTCGCGGTGCACCTGTCCTTTAATTTATTTGAGATGACTTCCTGTTCTACCTAGGCTGGAACACACATCTGATTTCGTAGCACAATACATTTTTTGGATTGGTTCTTTATTTATTGCATGACAAATGGGCTGATACAAATACTGGCTGTCAATGCTAGATGCCGTATTCTGGCACAAAATTTAACATAAGTACCTATGTATACAGAAATAGTGCGTTGTTATGAACAACAAGAATGAAAATTTAGAAAATTAAACCCTATAATTTTAAATCGAGATGGTTTTTCTGCGAGACTATGGTTTCTGTAAAGTGATATTAGTATTGAATGCAATAAGACTTACCAAAACTATTGTCTGCTTGTCGTCTATTGAGTTCTATGCAAGCACGCCGATGTACAAGCCTGTGTGTGAGTGCCACGTATCTCTTGTTAAATTCAGTCTCTGACTCGGTTGGATCTTCTTGTTTGGTCTCAGATGCATCTAATACATCTGTGATATTGCATGAAAAAAGTAAATTTTATTTTATAAATAAACTTGTATTATATTTGATTTAGTTTAGTTCATTGCCCACCCGGCACAAATAATAGTGTACTGAGCACGATCATGGTGTCTGGGTGTAATATCGTATCTATAATTTGTATGTTTGTATTTGAGATCAGATTGCCCCGTGTGTGGTATGTTTGAGGTTATTATTATTTAATTTCTGAAATACCTGGAGGGATTCTGGTCCAATGGTCATCATTTTCAGAGAGTAGTATCCAGTTGCCACACCACCAAGGAGAAGCGTAGATTCCTTTTCATCTCGACCACCTTCAGCTCCTTCAGAACTGCCAGAACATTCTTCATGTTCTACAAAAAAATAATTAACCCGGCGTCAGCATGGTAGAAAATAGGTACAACAACTGCATGATGGGTCATAATTACCCAGATTTTAAACCGTAGCTGATTTTTACCATTTCAATGACATTTAGAGCAAATTTGTGTTTAACTTGAAGAATAGTTCTTAAGTTATAATATTTTGGAGACAAAATAAAAAAAATAAGTTATATAAAGATCTTTTTATGTATTTAAGAAGTCGGTTACAAAAAAAATTCAACTTCTAAAAACTTATTAATAAAAAATAAAAAAAAAGACTAAATAACACTTATTTTTAACTTTTTGGAATGACAAATATGAGATCTTTAAGAAAGTATATGTAAAAATTTTAAAGAATCTTAGGGTTAATCACTATTAGCCTCGTCATCTACGCAACCGCCACAGAAGGAAATTATATGTTCAGGGCAGACGAATTTGTTGCATCTTTGACAGGTATGGGTAGTTTTCCTGTCTTTTTTAGCGGGGCATATCTGGCATCGTTTACGAACACCACGAACTTTAGCAGGGGGCTCCTCTGATGTTTCTCCTGTAAACTCTCTTATTCTTTTGCGCATCTCCTTGCGAGCGCTCAAGTGATCATTTATAAGAGCAAGACATTATCTTTACCCTGATTCGTGAATTTGTATATCTGAGAATAGCGTCCAACATTTCACTATCGAAAAAAAATGTTCCAGCACTCCTTTTCAGATTAAGCACATCCAGCTCCAGACTGAACTCCTGGCGTAAAAGTAATAATATTTTCTGATCGGATGCGAACATTTTGTCTAAAAGGTTTTTTGCGCCATATTGTACCATCTTTACCAGAATAAGTTGAAGTCAGTAGCTCATGATTCGATGTTTCTGCATCCGATGAATTGTGCTGATTAGATCTACGTACGGAGGAATACACTTGACGTTGGATGACACTCAAAGGTACATCATCATTATCATTTTCTGATGCCTCTTGCTCGGTATCACTCTGTTGAGAACGCTCGCTAACGTGATAATCTTCCTCGCATTCCGAAGAATTTTCACCTTCTTCCGAGTCGCTTTCTTCTAATATTGACAGAATTCGCTGCCTTTCGCGTTCCTCTTTATCCATTATTCAAATATAACCTTAAAATAACAAAATATAATGTAATATACGTAATGTCGATACAAATAAATAAACGACATAATCAAATAATGAAGTCAACGTAATTGACACGAAATGGTATCATCGAATGTATAGTTGGGTCATATTTACCTTTTTGTTGTTTGACCGCGTCTTTCTTCCTGTGCAGGCGCATACCGTCTAAGTTGACATAAGAAACGAGGGAGGTGAGGCACTAACTGCAGCTACTGAGAAGCGTGATAACGTTACACTATTATTTTCTTAAATACCCGCATTTAAAATCATCACGGGTCATTATGACCCAACCTAGCAGACGCCGGGTTAAATTTACATCTTAGATGTAGATATAGATATTAAGTATGGTTAATATTTTTTTTCTTATTAGGTTTCTTTAAAGGGGAGCCTTCATAGTGTGGAAGAACAATATTGTTAAGAATTCGTTTATTGTCCATATTTCAAATTCTTACACTTACCATCAGGATCTACACTTGCGCTAGATCCACCTAGTTTATCTAAACTATTACCAGCAGACCTAGCTATGCGAGTATCTTGAGGTTTCTCGTTGGTGGCGTACTCTTCTTTGCCTCTTTCTTCAGACTATAACAAGAAAATAAATGTTTTACAAAAATACATAAAGTTGCCTTGTTCCACTTGGTAAGTGGTAATCTGCACATAATGCTACACTTGCATTTTTGCAGCTTTACCAATACTGACAACTGAGACAATCCATACTTCCATACTTAGAATATAAATGTGAAAATGAGTTTGTTTGTTTGCTTTCAGGCCTAAATCACTAAACCGATTTTAAAAATTTTTTCACAATAGAAAGCTAAATTATCAGCGAGTTACAATTGGTTACTTTTTACTGCGATAACCGATATACAAGCGGGCGAAGCCGCGTCCAAAAGCTAGTACTCAATAATTGTTAGCTATGATACAAGGATTGACTGATATGTGACATGGTTTCTATGACAAGAAGTTAATAGTAAATATTAGTGAGTATTATTAAAGTCGTGAGGACTCAGAACACCTTACATAGCCTTTATCGATCTATTAGCTTCCAATGGAAAATTGCGAGAGATGGATCTTGCGAGCCAATTCTCTTCTGAAATGCCAACGTAAAGAACCATGTAATAGGGTTATTTTTTTCAGAAAGGCGGAAATAATTATTTTGTTCCAATTTTTACACCATTTGTATGGAAATGGTGAAGGAAATGTGAGAAAAAAGTGTTAGGTATGGGAGATGAAAGGTACAAGAGAAGAGGAAGACCGAAGAAAAGGTGGATGGACTACGTGAGTGAGGATATAGCTTGGACAAGGGAGTAAACAGTGAAATGACAAACGATAGAGTAGAATGGAAGAATCATACTTACTGTAGGCAGATAATGATGATGATGATTTTACTCTATTGGTATTTTAAGCGATCGAAGAATTCAATGAAAACTTACAGTACCAAAAAGAATAATAATACAATTCATTGGACTATTGGAATAAGTTTAATCAGAATACCATTTGTCTAACAATCATAATTTAAGAACATTTTTTATTAATTGTGATATAACGAGCAATGAACCTCATTTTGAAAGTGCCATATCTTGACATAGTCATTTTTGCTGATGTTTTGTATTAGATTTATACATGACATTGGCGAATTTGTGGTTACATTCTACCACAAAGCCATTAACCAAAAGTCGAATTTGAAGTATTAGATTTATTTTTTTATGTTTTAATTTAAGAGATTATCTGTCTACATTTATTATGAGAAGTGTCGTTATATGTATACGATATAATGATATTTTTAAAAAGTTTTTACAAAGTAATGATTGGATATTTGGCTGTGATTTTTCATGTATGTTTTGGCGAAAATACTGTTAAAGTGGCCGGTGGACAGAAAACCAGCAATTCGGTAACGAATTTTGATACCGACTATGAAGACTCTGAAGAGAAATGGCTAGGAAATGCATTGAGAGATATAGCGTATTATTTACGAAATCATAAGTTTAACGAATTTGACAGAAGATATTATACAGATAAGCCTTTTCCTTATACTGGCTTCTATGACGCGTTCCCTTCACCAAGTTTAAACTCTATTCATTGGATGGTACATAAAAACTGCCACCAAGATTTCTTTAAGTGCATAACTTATTTACATAGCATTGTAAAAACTGCTCCATTTACGAGGAATGATGACATTACCACATCTTTTAATAAAAACGCTACAACGCCAAATATTAGCTATTTACGTAGTCAAAACAATGAATGTAAGAAAGCTTTATCTTATGCTGACAAAACAGGCCTACCCTTTGGGGGACCTAAAGAAAAATTTCGCTGGCGAACCTCAGCTTCCTATTACATGTGCTGGTATACTATAAAAAGAATTCCAGCATTATCAATGCTGGGAGAATCTTGTGATAATTTTGCAAGTTGCTTGGATAAAGCACTCAGAAGTAGAAATCATGATCCTCGTTCAGATGATAAGTTATCATTTGCATGTGCTATTTACAGTTTTTGTCCAGATCCCTGTTGTCCTTTAAAACATGTGCGGACAATGTCTGAGTGCCATAACAGTTATAAAAATCCTTGCTACAATGAAAATTTCGAGAACAAGGATGTATCACACAGAATATGTGGATTTAATCACACGGATAATCAAGATTTAGAACAAATTATTCAAAATAAGTGGAATGTAACTTGCTTCTGTCAGCAAAAAGGTTTCAAATGGGATTCTCAATTTGGAATGTGTATAGATGTTAACGAATGCATAACAAAACAAAACAGTTGTGATTCAACTAGGGAGGATTGTTTGAATTTGCCAGGTACTTATAAATGTGTTTGTAAGTGGGGATACATGTATGACAAAGTATCAAAAAAATGTATGGAAAAGTTCGTACTTATGATCCCTAAACTAGATGCACCCAATAGACAATTTAATTTAATAGAAAAGTTGAGTTCCTTTGTAGAATTTATTGCATTTTAAACAAACCTTTGCACGAACATCTTGCCTATGCCGGTAGTGATGCCTGGATTTGTCTTCAGATCTATATCTCTTGTCTAATTTTTTATATAGACGAGCACCGCTAGCCTTTTTCGTTGACACACAAGATGGAGAATCTGCAAAACCTGCTGGTGCCGGCACAATGTCTGGTGTAGCATCAGCGTAAGATTCCTAAAAAAAAAGTTTTTGTTTACTTTTAATTAAATAAGAGATGTTATCAAGTGAAAATGTTTTTTTTCATCACGATTACTTTTTGTAAGGTAATAGAACAAATTTAAAAACAATCTTTGTGTTTTGATATTATTGACCTGGATATATTTTTAGCAAAAGAAATACTAATCACAGAGTGCGCTGTTATATATGTATAAAGTAACTTACGTCTGTTTGAGAAGTTCTGGATGCTATGCTATCGTGTTCATGCGCGGCTGTCACGATATGGACTTCCTTGCCGCAATGAAGGCAATGTGCCTTAGATTCTCCATCAGCCCCCGCTAGACTCGGCTCCGTTTGTTCTGAATAAAATACGGAATCTGATCCCGGTGACACTGAGCGAAGAGATTCTGCTGACGCTGCTTTTGCACATTTTCCTTCTGAGAAAAAAGCTTTTTAGACCTCTAGACTAACGGAAATTTTCGTCTGGAGGTCTTAAAGGGGTTTGTGGCAAATAGTTTCATTGAATAAGCTCTGGGGACTCTGAACTTTTTCTAAGAGATTTGATTGAAAAATTTGAATTTGAATTGAAAAATTTAAATGTACGTGTTTCTACGCAGTGATATCCCATAAGATTTTCAGATAATATTTAGCACTAAGGCCAGAAGTTTTTTTTTAAGAAGACTGTTACACAGAGGAAAAATCTGTGTTTTGTTTGTTTGTAATTAATAGGCTTTCAAAGTACTAAACTGATTTAAAAAATCTTACACTCGAAAAGCTGTCAGCGAATAACATAGCCTATATTTAATTTTGAAAAAAAATATTAACTCGTTAACAGTGTATTTATTTATTTTATTTTGAGAAGGCCTACAGACTAATAACAAACTTTGCATAAAGAAAATTTTCAATAAAAAGGTTGCTTAAAACAAGCCTCTACATATGTAGTTATAAGTAAGCGGATAAAAAATACATTAAAATAATATCAAACCAAAAACTAAAAAAAAATTAATATAAGAACAAAAATTTAAATATTTTTAAGGAGAACTGTATTAAATCGATTATAACAGTATAATTTGCAGTAGGTATATCACATTACTCTGCTATGCATTCTCTCCACAAACAATGAAGAGAACATATGAAATGAAGTATTGCCACAGTAACCATTAATTGAGTATATGTTTACAAGAACACCGTATGACGATAAACTGCCAAGCAAGACAACCATTATTAAAAAAATCTATTTGCCCGCGCCGCCTTATTGCAGCAGGGCTGCTATGAAATAGGACAATATCTAGGTCTATGAAAAGACTGTTGTAAGTTATCGCAGTACACAAGAAAAATGCTAATGATAAGATAGGCATATGTAATGATGTATAAAACAGGAAAAGAAAAAATAAACAGCCTCAGCATTTTGTGCGTGGACCACATGTGGTGCACTCATGTGCACGCTATAGATTCCGTGCCCTATATATCCATTCACGTATTAGGAAAGAGGTTTATCGTTGAAAGATCGTTCTATTATGAACTCTCGGTGGTGCAGTGGTAGCGTAAGTGTGTTAAGGTCTCGGGTTCGATTCCCGGGTCGGACCAGATGTTTGTATGATATGCAAATATTTGTATCGGAGTTTGGGTGTTTTCTACGGATAATATGTATTTATTTACATAAAAAAGTATAAAAGTGTTCTAAGTCAATCTAGCTTTCATAGTACAAGCTCTGCTTAGTTTGAAACTATGTTAGATGTCCAAAAATATTATTATATTATTTAACATGAATATTCACTTACATAAAAAACAACACAAAAGTTAAAATTAGTAAAGAGCGCACAGATAAAATTCTGTTAAAAATATAACAAAACAAAACTCAAACAAAAACAAACATGTGGGGAAAGTTACGCCGACCGATTAGCACGTACGGTGTGATTAAAAGATTTCGAAACTATAACAAGTCTTTACTTTAATAAAGCTTTTTGTCTTTTGTGTTATAATGTTTCTCATTAAAAATATATATTTATATATATATATATTAAGATATATAGATCTTTCGTGGATCTTTCAAACTACGCAACAGATTTTAATATGGTTGTAATCGATAGAGAGAGTGATTCAAGATGAAGGTTTATATGCACATTTTATATTTTAGTAGAGAAAAGCCAAGAATTTCCATGATTTGTAATGAGATGTCGTAAAAAATATATCTTTGTAAGCTTAAATTGTCAGCGCTTATGAGATAGATCATAATAATGAACTATGGAATTGTTTATTTTAATGAAATCTACAAAAAAGTCTGCCACAGTATATCGCCTAAGGATAACTCATAGTAATATTTTTTATTATATAAATTATATACTTTGTTCATTTAATGTAAATTAAAATTGCCTTTTACAGCATGTTATTAAAATAAATATCTTAGAAGATATCAGAGCGGCCGTCCGTTGTATTAGTTTGTTTATGTATGTAATTGTAGTAAATTTATTTTACACGAGTTATAAAATATATATATGCTTAGGAATGTTGCAAGCCCGTGCTTATAAGAATTTTATGTCAAGAAAATAATCTATTTAATTCATACAACCTGATAATATTGATGATTTAATTAATATTAAAGCCTGATGAAATAATATGAAATAAATATTTCAATTTTTATACCTTTATCTTGCTGCTTCCTTTGATGTCTAGGCGATGTTGTGGGACTTTTTACATATCTAAGTGGTGTCAACCTGGATCCTGCACATGTAAGAGTTCTAGTTGTTTCTATATCTTCAGCTTCTAAAGAACTTAGACATGGAACTGTTGGTATTGACTGTTTTCTTCGTGGTAAGCTGCCAGGCAGTGATATACTTTCGTTAGAACCGCTCTTCCTTCTCGGCCTACAACAGTTTTTTTTTTAATAAATCGTTTAGTTAGGTAATAATATACCGAATTTAGCTATATTCCAATATCAGTTCAAAGCACCTGTATATTGAATGATTGCTAGTTGAAGTAGGAGACTTTGCGTTATTAGAATTATTAGTCGTTTTTCTTCTTGGACTGTCTCGTAACCGCCTATGTTTTCTTGGCGATATGTTACCATTGCTAGTACCTGTAATTAATTACAGTATTATATTTACAATTTATATTTGAATCCTAATAGAATAAAGAACTATTATTTCTAGTGGCACTTACCTTCTTTCCTATATTGTTCACTAGAATCATCTGAAGTTGGTATATTCAGATGTAATTTCATATTGGAACCATTTACTTCTCTTCTATCATAATGTGTTGGCCGATAACTATGATTACCATCCAGCGTTTTGTTTTGAGTCGGACTTTTAGCTTTTAGTTTTGTCCTCTTCACATACCTTTCCCTTTCAGGAGGACGTTTGGTTTCAGAATCTTTTTCCTTCATCGTTTTATCTTTTATAGATTTTTCAATATCTATCGGTTCTCGCGGAGAAGATTGAACACTTTTCGTTTTTTCTGCAAAATGAGTTTTCTTCTTACGACACTCTGGCGCCTTTTCTTCTAATGGAGACTTGATGTTGGAATATTTAAATACATTTCGTTCAGATTTTTGACTGGTGCTATCTGACTCCTTTATATGCTTTTTACCCCAATCATCTTGAGAAGTAGATACAGAGTCATCATAAGATTTTGAGAATTCTAAAGTGAAAGCTTTCTTTTTTTTGCGTTTCTCCTCAGATAGCCATGATTTTGGTCTTGTCGATGTTCTATATTTTTGGGAATGTTTATAGGCTATAAAAGAAAATAATACGCTTTATATCGAAGAGAAGTGGTAGTTTTATCAAGCAATAAGCTACCATACTCACTTAACCCACCGTCATCATCATCGTCCACAGGACTTTCATAATAGCCGGAAGAAGAATAGTGTACGCTTCTTTCATCATCCGATAAGGAACCCTGCAATAAGAAATAAATATTCTAAAATGAAAGAATAATTTTGTTTATTAAAATTCTGCAATTGGTGTTATATTACCATAATTTTTGGCACAAGTTGTTCTTGTGCACGTACAGCTTTATCAGCAATTTTGTTAGTCGTTTCTTTACTTTCATTTTGTTCTGGTAATTCTACAATTTTTTCAGGAGATTTCTCCTCAATAGTTTCGGTTACATTGGGATTTGATCCCCCTATACTATAACTTCCACTCGAACTACTCTTTCCACTAATTGTACCACGCATAGTCTGAAAAGAGGAGCAGTTTCATACATAAGCAGAAAGGAGAGTTTAAGATGTATTAAGCATCGTGCAAATCTAATGTTTAACATAAAACACAACCAACCTTTGATACTTTTGGAATATCATCTTTAAGTTTATTTTCAGTCTTTTCTCTCTTGTTGTGTTCAAAGTTTGGAGTAATTTCGGCTTTTACTTCAATTTTATCCACTGTAGTTTTAGGTATCCTATCTGACAATGGTAAAGGCGGTGAAGCTAGGTCAGGAACTATGAAATCGTCGCTGATTTGTAAAGGTGGTGAATAACTTGGTAATATTAAGTCCTCAGCAATGTTTTCTGTTCGTGTCGAAGAATAAAGACTTGATGCGCTTTCAAAAGATGACCCTTCTTGTGCCTTGTTATTTTCCGGATCTAAGTACAATAAAATATTTTAAATGATAATATAATTTTATTAAAAAAAGAAATAGTTCCAAATTTGTGAATACTCACTTTGGTTATGATTCTTGCAACTTTTTTTAGAACTATCAGAATTAGCGGTAACGTAGTCATCTGTTGTTGTAGTGCTTTCCGATACATCAGTAGTATTAATTTTCCCTGAATCTGTTCTAGCTAAACTTGTTTCACTACTGGCAGTTTTAGCCAATGTTGGTTCAGAAGGAGATTCAATTATTTGATTTGGTATAGTACCATTGGGCTCTTTTGTTGTGCCTTTTTCTGTAAATCTTTTCTCCTTGAGGGGCTTAAAGCACGTTCTCGTCTTTTATTAACGATACTAGGTGTTCTTTTAAAAGGTACATCTGCCAAATCTAGGCTTGGATGGGTAATAGCAATAGCAGGTGTATGACTGACTTTTGGGGCTACAAGTGAGATATTCTTCGAAATAGTTGGTTGCTTAGTAATAGGTAACGGTATGTTTGGAACTACAGCAGGTGGAGACAGGGATGATCTCGCTTGTTGGGAGCTAGAACTTGATGTATCCAATTTATTTCTTGGAGATGTAGGTGACTGACTCTAAAAAATTAACTTAGATTTAAGGCTCGTCTCAAATAAACATCTGAAAAATATATATTCATATTGTTGGCTATTTACTTGCGAGGCATCAAATTCTTCATCCAAAGCATCTGTATCTAAAGAGGATCGCTGTTGATGTTGTAGTAGCAAAAGTTGTTTCCTTCTCGAAGTTGGTGTTAAAAGTGCAAGCGCCCCAGGTGATGTAGCTAGAGAACTTAGATCTGATGAGCTATTAAATGAAATTGTCATAATATACATTATTAATGAAGCGTTATAATTCAAGATTTCAAATAAAAAGCAACAAACCCCTTCTTACCTTATCACGGTGCCATTTTCTGTACCTGAATCAACTTGCAAAACAGTTGTTTGTGATTCATTCCAGTTGCCATCAGAATGATCCCTTAAAAAAGTAGTTTTTAGTGATTTACATAAATTTAACCAAAGAGTTGTCAACACAGTAAAAATATGTTTAAGTCCTTACAAAAGAAATAGAAGCTGCAACAACATCTTTCGGAATTTCAGATGGCTTGTCAAACAACAAACTTATCAAGCAAAAACGACTACGCGCATTTAGATGCGATTTACTCAGTAGTGTTGCAAATGTAGTTTTTAAAAGTCTAATTCGAAACTTGTGCATGTTTCGTCTTGACTATGATGTTTAAAAGTATTTTCATTTTACTTTGTTAGTCTAAATCTAGCTAAAAGTTTATTTTTATCTCTGTTTACCTGCTATGATCTACTGTAAGCGACTCATTGGACGCACAAGGTGAAACCTTATCTAGAGGAGTGAGTATGGTAGTAACTGTGTTAGATATAACAGCTCGTTTAATTTTTTGATCCATTTCTGTGTGTATAGGAGCAGGGTTTGGGGATCCGGGGCTAGATTTAGCTGTGCTGAAAAATTAATATCAAAAATACTATTAACACACTAAAAATAATATGTTGGCCATTGTTATATATTTAAGTGTTTCTTTATGTTTATAACGTTACAAAATGTTAGCGATAAACAAATAAGTACGTTTAATATGCGTAAATAGCTCAACTATAGTTTCTAAATGCTCTGCTATATTTTCTAGCTAAACTTGATAACAGCTAAAATGGTGCGTGCATACCTGCTTTCAAGAATTTCGTCCTTGTTAACTATAATTTCTGTCGGTTCTTCAAAACTTACGCTTCGATTTCTAAATGGTTCATGCTTGTAACTAATGTACTTTTCGTGAAAATCTTCATATGCATTTCCATCAGAAGAACTATGGAAAGAAATATGAATGAGAGCGGATGAAAGCATTGCATACCAATTTGAAAGTCTTAATACTAGCCGTTTGCTTAGAATGAGGACAAGAGAAAGTATGATTGTGAAAGAGCTATATCTAAAAGGACTGATGATAATGCAGTAAACAATTTGCCGGTCTGTGGATGCTGTGCAGCCTAATTTTTATGTGTTTCCAACCTAATATTTACAGTACTGTAACAATCAACCATTTTACTCTTTTCTTACCTGAATGACCCATCTGGTTCGAAACCAAAGATGCCTTCGTCTTTGATAGGAGTTTGGTTATAATTTTGAACAATATATTGCTCATACATTGCTTCTCTTTCGCGATCCTCCCGTGTCATATTTTCTTGGCTTGTAGACATAACGATTGGAGCGTCTTTAATACCATCGTTTGCTTGCAATTCGGTTTTCCTCCTGAAATAATTAATTTTAATTTATAAAACCATAATCTTCAAAGTATGAAAAGTTTGTATTAAAGGTAAATTTTATTCTTATAAGTCTACTTTCTGTGGTAATAAGAATAGTATAAAATGTTTTTTTTTAATTATAGACGTTGCCTACATACGATTCAGTGAATCATGGCAAAAACGGCAAGGTCCTCTCATCGTTTGATTCAAGGAACTACTACTGAATAGTAGAGATAAGGTTAGGTTAGGTTAGTCTCGTATCGGCTCTGACCGCCCAGAATAGGGTACGCCTCTGGCGCCCTCAGAGGGTAATGGCGGTCAGAGCCATACGTGGTTACCGCACCGTTTCGACGGAGGTGGCATGCGCGTTGGCCGGAACTCCCCCGTGGGATTTGGAGGCGGAAGTGCTCGCCGAAGTTTATCGGCGAGTGGCTGACTCCCGGGCGGAGAGCGGATTTCGCCCTCCGCCCGAGGATGTGCGCGAGTGGCGCGAAGCCGCTCGCCGAGCCACGATGGCTCGTTGGTCGTTCCGGCTGGAGACTCCACGCGCTGGCTTCGCCGCCGTGGAGGCTCTCCAGCCGGTCATCGCCGAGTGGGCAGGGCGGCAGCACGGGACCCTTTCCTTCCGGCTGACGCAGGTGCTTTCCGGGCACGGTTGCTTCGGAAAGTACCTGCACTCGGTCGCTAGGAGGGAACTGAGTCCCGCCTGCCACCACTGCGACTGCAGTGAGGACTCGGCCCAGCACACGCTGGCGGTCTGCCCCGCATGGGCGGCGCAGCGCCGGGCCCTCACTGCAGTCATCGGAGTGGATCTCTCGCTACCGGCCGTAGTACGCTCCATGGCCGGTAGCGACAGTTGTTTTACCGCGGTCGCAACCTTCTGCGAGGTAGTAATCTCGCGGAAGGAGGCAGCGGAGAGGGCCCGGGAGGACGACCTCCACTCGGACCCGATCCGCCGCCGGCGAACCGGGCGGCGGAGGCCCGCCTATCACAGCCTCATGCCGCCCTGAGTGTGGCCGCGGGTGGACGGGGTGGGTTTCCCCTCCACCCGCATTAGTTTGGCCAGCCGCGAGGGGGCGGCGTCCGCGTGTGCCGGACGTCGCCTAAAGAGAGGAACAAAAACATTGAGACGGAGCCCGCACCAGGAGCGGGCTGGCGCTAGGAGGGGTCCGGATGTCTTAACAACAGTTGTTCCCGGATCCCTCCTGTTACAGGCGCAGAGTGGCACACCGTGTGGTTTTAGTCGGTCCGAGTCCGACACACCACCCCGCCGCAAACCCCCGAGGGGTGACGGTCCGAGGGGATGTCTACACGTTAAAAAAAAAAAAAAAAAAGGTTAGTCTCGTATACCTATAACCGGGAGGCGGAGGCGCGCTCATCTGCGCCTCATGCCGCCCTGAGTGTGGCCGCGGGCGGACGGGCTGGGTTTTCCCCTCCACCCGCATTAGTTTGGCCAGCCGCGAGGGGGCGGCGTCCGCGTGTGCCGGACGTCGCCTAAAGAGAGGGTCCACTGAGACGGAGCCCGCGCCAGGAGCGGGCCGGCGCTGGGAGGGGTCCAGAAGGCGATAACAACCTGGACCCCTCCTAATATAGAAGCGCAAAGAGGGCACACCGTGTGGTTTTAGTCGGTTCGAGTCCGACACACCGCCCCGCCGAACAGAGAGCCCCGGCGAGGTGACGGTCCGAGGGGATTTCCACACGAAAAAAATAAGTCTCGTATACCTATAAAAGTTACTTATAATTAAAATAGCAAAGCTTACTCTGAAGTTATTTCATACCAGTTCTTCTTTACAGTACTTACACATCTAAAAGAATTTCTCCTTCAGATAAAGTTTTTTGCAACATCCTTCTGTTTTTCCTTCTCAGTGTTGTAAAAGGTATAGCTTCTTCATCGGGTCTTGGTTCGAAATCAATAATAATTTCCTTTTCATTCTTTTCACTATCATCAGTTGTGGTTGCAGAAGTTTCTGTTGAAGGCTCAGATTGGAAAGTGGAAGTTTTTGAAAAGGGATGAGAATTGGTCGTCTTTTGTGAAGCATCACTTGTACTTTTAGAAAGAATAGATCTAAGTGACTTATCCCCCTTTGTTTGTTTAGCGATTTCTTGTTGTAAATATTCCAAATTTCGACGATTTAACGCCATGCTTTTCTCTATAGTTTCGATATCATCATCTATAGTATCATCTCTATCACTTTCGTGAATGAATTGAAAGTTTTGTTGAAAGTATTCTTGTGCTTGACGCTGTAACGCACTGAGCTCTGATGATTTGTCAATTTGTGAAGATGACGCTACAGATTTTACAGAGGAAGATGTAACGTCATCTGAATCACCGCGTTGTGAAGGTGAAGAAGGCATTACACCTGTTGGTGATCGTGGAGATCTGGGTGGTTCTTCGGATTGTGTTCTATGCAGTTTTTCATGATCGTTATTGGTAAAACTGAAATCAATATGTATTACTTAATATTACTTGAACCAGCTTTTTTCTATTAGAGGTTATGTTATATTATACCTTTCTACAGTAGCGGTAATATCATTTTGTGAACTACCGACTAATCTGTCACCGCCAACTTCTGAAAAAGATTTTGTGAGTCTACGGGCTCCAACTGTATATCCATTTGTTTGTACGCCTGCAGCTACCATTTTGACCTACAATCAGAAATTATTGTACTACCAATAAAATAAGTATTAATATGCATGCACATTGTGTCGGAAGTAAAATTGGAATAAACAAAGCAGTTATTAGAGCTGTATAATAAAGAGATAAACAGAATAGTTTAGCGTACGTACTTGATTCATTTTTTTAATAAAATATTTTTCTACTGCACAACGAAATGTTTCTACTGCTTAAATACTACCGAAAACATACATCAAAACCAGTCGTGTGGTTTGAGAAAAGATTGCAATATTACTATGAACGAACAGAAATGTTTTACTTACTCTTTTTATAGTACGCGGGCTCAACGATAAATAATTAGGAGGTAATGGTTTTCTACCTAAACATACTTCCGTTTGTGTTGCTTGAGTTCTCATCACTCCTTTTTTTATTGAATCTGAAACCATAAATTTTAATAATTTAGTAACTGTTGGTTTGAACTTTCTACTGCTATTAATTGCTATTGTTTTTTATGCATTATTTACCTAAAACGACGACTTTAGTTTGATCCGTTTGAGTGGGTCTTGGCACCGCTGGTGCTGGATGAGTAGGCATGGGTTGTAGCGACGGTGGGTAATGTATCGGTGCTGGTGCAGCCTGGGTCATGAATTGCGGGTACGGTGGAAATGGTTGAAACATCACTGGCAAGGTTGAATACGATTTCGCTTCCGGCTGAAAAATATATATAATTTTTATTATTTACACATTCAAAATATTTATTCCAAATAACAAATTAGATGTGTTTAATATGAAACTTATAAAATATGTGTTTTTTAATTCACTAATAAATATGTGAAGTTCAAGACTAATACAATTTCCCAGGCTTATAATCACTGTTCCGCTTCTCAGATGTGTCGATGGATGATGTTAAATAGATTCTGGGTTTTTTAAGATTTGCACTTCCATCAAATGCAATACATATTTTTTTAGGACAGATTGACGTTCCAAGATTAGGGCGTTCAATCATATATTACAATAAATCTTTAAGCTCTAATACAATTGATTTAGATATAGATTTTGTTAAAATTGACGAATTTTTACAATGAAATTCACAAACGAGCAGAAGTAATGTGGGTGCAGCGCTGTGTTTATTTTTACCTTTCAAGGGTTTCGTTAGTTAAAAATTAAAATTTGCCCACCTTAACAACTCGTCCATCGATCAGCCTTTCACAGTCGCGCCTGAAACGGTTACCTCCAACCGCGGCTGGCATAACCGAGTCATCAAAAGTTGTCAGAGTATGAGAACGAGCGAAAGACACGTGTTTTGTCCTGTAAAGCATTTTATTTTCATACAATACTAGTAGAAAATATATCCCAAAGAGCGAACCAAAATTATCAAATAGATAGGCTACCTTCATAATCGAGTGTCTTAATTCCAGTATGGTACGATTGTAATTTTTCAATTATTTTTGTATAAACTGTTTTCAAAAGTTCTCAACTCGACAGAATCTTTTTTTGTAATAGGCTTTTTATTTAAAATTTATAAAGAGACAATTTTCTGACCTCCAGGTTGTTCATATTATTTTAAGATAATATGTGAATATAGGGTAAAAAGGGAAGAAAAACACACTAATTTAATACAATTTATCATGATTTAGGCGAATTGGTATTAGATCTTTTTAAAAAGTAATCAGTTATTGTTATTTGTCAATATTGAGGTCCTTTTTAAAGCTATAATTTTATATTTTTTTGTAATACATTAAATTATTAGCAGGGTCAAGAGGCTGACCACGTAACCCAAAAAACAAAAATCTTAATAAATTCTACTAGTCGTAGTCTATCACAGTATTATAAAAAGGTTAATTATAAAACGTAGTATTCAAAGAAAAAATGTTTACAAGTTATTATTGGCGAACAATGATATGTAAAAGACGTCATTGGCGCCGAACCAAATCTTAGTCTATAAGCCTTACCAGTTAGAATTATTGTCATCATGATCTTATGAGTGTTATTGCGAACATGACCTCTGTCATCACATCAACGCATGCATATATGCTTCTGATTTTATGAAGAATAATACTACAACCTCAATAACACACTTTCATAGGTAGCAATAGGTAATAAATAAATCAAAAGTATTTCTTTTTTAATTAAAAAATTGGTGCTCTAATGCTTAGAGATGAAGCAATCAGTTAAAAGGAATATCCCATGTGTGACGCTACTTTAAATATTTTGCTAGTAATATGTTGCCAGACAAAAACATATATGAAACGTGTCCAAACTAAATGGTTATCATCTACATACAAATAAATAAAACTGACGTGTCTGTTTGTAATGTCAAAATAATAGTTTTTTTTTAATGCTCACGCGGTTATTTGCACGATACCTATGCCTAATAACCAGTTTAAATATTTTTTGTCTTTCGTCTTTTTGTTCCGGGTAATCTTCAAAGCAGCCAGACCGATTTTGATAATATTTCACTGCCAGATAGCTGTCTATATAAGGAGTAATTTAGGCTATTTTTCGTCTCAGAAAAACCCCGTAAAATTTTGCACGGTTCGGGAATCGAACCCGAGGCCTCATGGACTGCAGTCGCACGACTAAAGCAGCGCTTAAATTGAACAAACATTTTCAATTCAACGAAGTCGCTATTGATCTTAGTGAGTTAGAAACAAATGCGACCTCCGCTGATGGACGCTTCTGTATACCGAAAACAATACCCTATAGTATAGTACTGAAATTCTGCGGATACCAACCTACATACAGACTATAGTAATTTATCGAAAGCTCCGAGCTTAGTCTTGCTATCAATCAATAGAAGCTTCACACAAAGGGTACGTTCGAATTAGATTGGACAGACAATTCAGCTAAGATAGGTGTAATGCGTTAATATCGACGATCATACTATTAATTTGTTACACTTATGAAATCTCTTGGGACTCTAAATTACATTTATAAAAATACATTTATGGGGAATAAGCTTTTCGCTCTAAGTGCCCTCGTAATAAAAGGACAAAAACATTTAAGTTGATCTTAAGTATACAACGTGGTAGTTTTTTCTTCATAAGCAGTTAGCGTTTCTCAGTTCTATTACAACTATTGCAGCCTTACCTTACTCCATCAAAGAATGGTATAGTTTCGTGAAGCTATGATAAAATATCCATGTAAATATGAATAACTAAAAGGCGCGTGAAATTTTGCGTGAGGTGAGAGAAATGGAGGTGAGCATTAAATTTTTCCAGGAACATATGCCTACATTTGATACATATAATGGATTACCTGTTGGGTGCCATTGTGAGAGGGGGTGGCGGGGGCGGCGGTGGTATAGGTGTGTGGGCGGGGCATCTGTAAAATATACCCATAAAAAATACTCGTATAAAAAGTAAGCAAAATATCTAATAACTAAAGGCTAAACGGTCCTGTTGGTCTAATAGTTAATAATCCTGACTGCTAAGCGATCGATTCCCACACAGGATAAATATTTGTCTGATGAGCACGATCATTTCTTCTTTTTATTTATATAAATTACACCTAAACACAAAAAATACATATTTCTAAACACATACATATTATAGATATAATATGTATGTATGTAGAAATACATAAGTATGTTTATCAGTAGTCTGGTTACCATAATAAAGGCTCGGCCTAGATTGGGAGTGTGTAAGTTGTGTGAGGTTGTTATTATTATTATATGAAGTCTTTTCTTACTTTTTGGTAATGTATATCTATTTTATTCGGTGGAAGTACTTATTGAAAAAAAAGGTAAAAGCAACTTCTGTTATGTTATTTCCTGTATTCACTTTTATCTGCATGTTTTGTTTTCATTCAATTTTAGTCTCATTTAAGTACAATACACGGAGATGACTACTAACATTGATAAATTCTAACCAACTCCAACTTTAATACTAAATTGTCATTATAATAACACAAAAGAAACAATTTTATTAAGTGTTAGTTATGTAGTGGTTAATTTATATAATTAAATTGGCAACAATGTCTGCCTTGTAGTAAACCTAAATACTTGTAAAAGAATTTGAGTAGAAGTATCTACTCGCACCTGTTTCTACCGTATCTTCTATAGCTATGTATTTTCACAGGAATTTCCTTTCTAGGACACCTGTGGCCATGCCTAAAGACCTGATGACGGAACACTGTGTGGTTTCAGTCGGTTTGATACCAACTCTCTTTACTTATCTACACAAAAAAAGGGTATTTGCGCTTTGCCAATCCTACTCAATTAGTAACAGTAGAAAAACAATAATACCCTGATAGTATTGTCGATATTCTTACTTATATCAAGTAGAGTGTTCTCTGTACTATCTTTGTTTCAATTCGTGTATTCGCAAAGGTAGAGCTATGAAAAAGATGTCCGAAGAAGAACTCATCAAACCTACTTCTATTAAATGTAACGTTACTTGTATATATTAAATGTAACTCAGTCCATATTAATAGTAATATTTTCTCTAAATTGTATTATCCAGGACCCGTTCCATCCATTAACGCCATAACATGGCTTGGCTTTACCTCCTAATTACCTAATATTGTCCTAAGTATTATTAGGTGCTGAGATTAGCCTGTGAAAGGCAACAGAAAGGTAAATGATAGGCCATTGTGGATATTGTGCTATGTTGTGACAAGTGATCGATGTCATAACTGCTACTGGGTTTATCTGTTACAACTTATGTTCGTCTTGCTCAAAACGAAAGTAATTATAATGTGGTTTATATATTGTTTGTTGAGTTGCATTTTATTTTTTATATAAAAAATAAAATGAAACTCTTGTCTTATCCATTTATGCATATTATATACACTTGTATGTATTTGAATGTTAATATACACAAATACATTTGATCCTATTGAATTTTATTGTAGACTTAACAACAAAGTCGTTTATATCTGAAATTTCGAAATTCATATTTAAATTACTTTTCTGTATAGTCTCTATAATAATGCAACTAAATCATAGCAGTGGCTTCATAGAAACCGATCGGGTGCTATGATGCCACAGACAGACAGACAGATACACAGATACGCAGATACATGTTATAATTTAAATAGGTATTAATTACGAAATACTATAAGTAAGGTATATTTATTAAAAAAAACAATATTTAAAAAGGAAAAAATGTTGGTCGATTACCATATAAATTTGAACTAGCAATATACTCGTAATAGAGGATTGCACATGTAAATTATGTTTTCTGCGTGAGCTATTGACATTGTATAAACTTTTAGATCTAAAAAAAATATGGCTTCATTAAGATATTTGCTTGACAATAAATTGTTCCTGGCGTTGATTTTCTTTGAATATTAAAGATCGTATCGGTCCGGTATATCCAGACAATACGATTAGCTTAGTAAGAAAATGGAAATTGAACTATCTATTTGTTTCTATGGTCTAAAAATATATATGTTATAAACACTTACGGAATTATAGAAGGTGGTCGAGGCAACGAGCCTCCTCGACTAACTGACGCGATTTGGTCGACATTGTAATTTTGCGGCCAACCCGCGTTATCTTCTATTACCGATCTGAAATATAAAACAATATTTATTGCAACTGTATCGAATTAAACTGCATCGCTAAATGGTTTTTGTTCACAATCGTATACTATCATCGTATCTATAATCGTATATATACTGTAATATCGTACCCTAACTGGGTTACAAACCAAGTTGAAAAAGGCAAAGGATATTTTTTACTGAATCCTTTTTCATCTTTTTACCCACGACGGCACGGAGGAGGTATATGCGTTCAGGGTGAGAGATAATTGTTTGTTTGTTTGTGGAAACCAATGTTGCCATAGTAGGCCAAAACCTCATTTCTAAGTAGAGGCTTATGTCTAGCAGCGGGCTATTAAGGCTGTTGATGATAATTAATGTTGCCATTTATCTCCATAACATTCATCTCATAGAACGGTTTTGATGCGGTTTTTAATAATGGGTTCGTGGCTGATTGGTGCTGGTGCTTAGATACGTGTTATGTTGGTAACTTACTAGGCGGCGCTGCAGTAAACAAAATGAGCAAAAACTCATTTTTCCTTCGTAAAAATAAGTTTTTGCTCGTTTTCACCGAGTTAGATCGTCCCGTTAGTTTGAAACTTTGCGGTTATAAGTAGTTTATATGTCAATACTATAAACTGGCAACTTTAAGCTGATCTAATGAGAAAGCCAAGAGGTGGATGCTGGAGCTCTTCAATGGCTTACTAGTAGCCAACTCTTCGTGTTTGGGCTGGTTAGATTGGTATTTTATGAGCGCCTTTGATTACGCATGGTGGCGAGTTAGCCAGGAGGTAACACTCCTTTTATATTAGTGACTACATATTAAAAAAACTCGACAGAAATCGGTAGTTACGTATTTCTGTAGAGAATAGTGACGTAGAAACTCTAAAAATACTAATTAAATATGAAAAGAGAAGAAACCCACGTCGAATATGGTCTTCTCTACCGTTATCTCTGTCTTCTCTTCTCTTTGACGACTATTATAGAGACTGCAGCTGAATGTTCTGAATATCATATAAACTTATCTTTTTCATTCTACGTAATGATAGTGTGACGACAAAGTACCGGGCGAAGTATAGTTGTAATTATGTATACAAAATGTATTTCCACTATGAAATAAACTACATAGAAATGTACATTACAATACAAGAAATATTGCGTACGTGTGTGTGTGTGCATACAGCAACAAACGTGTCTATAATTGTTTTTCATAGTTTCTGTTGATTTGATATTGTTGTTGTAATCATCAGTGATGGTGATGAGTGGCTTAGTATCTTAATAACTTAAATTGTAAACTTTTGGTCAATAAAAAAAAAAAAACTTTTTAGAGATCGTGTGCTGTCTAAAAAGTCTGAAATAAAAATCCATCTCAATTGTAATTTCAACTAAAATGAAGATATCCTGTAATACATTATATTAATTATATTCACGTTACTGGTAAATTTTAGTTCATTTATTGACAGCCCCGATGTTCTTTGGTTGTTTATTCAGTTCATAGGTAGTTAAATATGTTATTTATTATTGCCACATCTAAGTATATCTACGAGAAACAAATAGGCACGTAAGAAAGTGCTATGAAAACTAATACTCCATTGTTTATACGACCAACTACGCGAAAGATCAACTCTAATACAAAAGGTTTTTTCAGTGGGATGGTAAACAATAAATAGTTGTTTACAGTAATAAAACAAGGTTCTAATATTTCTATAATATATATAATATTTTACTTCTAATATTTATTGTTACATTAAGCTGACTTTATAAACGTAAGTATTCCAAATTGGTTTAATATAGATATAATGGAACTTAGTAACCATAGCCGAAACTGTCGTCTGTCTAAAATTAAAATCTATACGTAACCCTAAACGAATAAGACAAGATAGTTTCGAATAATTTGAGTTAGGCGTTTCTTATCTTTATAAGATGTCTGATGTCTGCCAGTCCGCTGAGTCTGAACACCAGACATCTTATAAAGGTATAAACATTTATGTCGATTTTACGAGTATATACAAATAATATTAACGCAAAATATATTACGCACTGTCTACTACACTCTGGTTCAGTCAGTTCTTTCTTACTGTATTGTGGTCTGGGGTGGCGCTTGTAAGACATTTATGATGCGGTTGAAAAGAGCACAAAGATCAATATTGAAAGTCATGACTTTCAGTCCGTTCAGATTTCCAACAAAATCTCTGTTTACAACTTGTGAAGTACTAACAGTAAGACAACTGTATATACTGCAATTACTTTCAAAGCAACACAAGAAAACTCCTTACCATACTGCGGATTATTATAGAAAGCGTACAATGACAAATGTTTGCTTATCCGTCACCTGTCGTACAGCCTCTGCCAGACGGCAACATGCCTACATGTCTATCTTCTTTATAATAGAATAAATAAATTAACAAACATTCATCCCTTATCTAATCGCGAAGCTAAAATTAAATTAAAGAATTGGTTGCTTGGTATAGACTATGACCAAACTGAAAAATTATTATCATAAAGACTAAAAACTGACAATATACACCTCTCATATCACTCCATATACATACTTACATATACATCTATACACTTAAATACCATACACACCACAAACGCACGGCACACTCCACACTACGCACTTTCATCACATTTACTCATCTCACTGCACTTATTTTTGCATAAGATTTCTGTGTTCCTCATAATGGGAGAAGATACTGACTTCTGTAACACAGGCCAGGAGCCTAGCTCAGCAGTCAGGGACTTCACATATATTGTGTATTTTTTATGTGAATATAATAATAAATAAATAAATAAATAATAATAAAAAAAAAAAAAAAACTGAGTACTTATTTTTCTGAAATTGCAGTAAATAAAAATAATAATAATGACAAAATTAAAACAAAATTTAGTACTGCTTTCTGAAGAACACTAAGTATAATCAAACAATCTTAAATTGATTACTCTATACAATAGATAAAAACTCTCGTAAAATTGTTACTACTAGACTAGAATGGTTATCAACGTAACGAAAGCTCAATTCTGAGCGAAAAATATCAAAAAAACCTTGTACATTTATCTTCTGTGACTGCTTAGCCTTTAAATGAAAGTCAGAAAGGGTTTTCGCTAAACCAGAGGTACTAAATTAGTAGGTATTATCGTGGCACTTATTTCTTTGACGTTGCTTTAGTTAATTAAAATGGTATAGCGAGAGGTGCCTTAGTTACAACCATACTAATAAATGTCTGTTCGAAGGATATTATTTATGAATGTATCAGAACAGATATATTTTGCTCGCGCGTTTATGCTGTTTTACGCCACAGTGCTACATTTTCCTTAAGATGTACGGGGTCATCTAGAATTAGTTCACAGTATTTGCATCGCAAAGTATTACCTTTGGTTTTAGTATGTGTTTATAGCCATAGGTTGTACATTTCTAGACAGTAAACGATAAGCTACAACAAATAGTTTTTTGTTATTTACAATAAGCTATGTGGCGTAAGACATTGTATGACCACAGAATTTAAAATAACGAACGTAGAAGAAGAAGAACGTAAAAGATACGCCCTAGCATCGTAAACATTATGAGTCAGGCAAAGATTTAAAGCTAATTTACAATGCCAGAATAAATGAGAATGGTGAAATGGCTTAACGAGCCGTTATGTCATCATTCATTTAGATTTATTTTATCTCGACATTTTTTTATATTTCATAGGTACATGTTTTCCTCATTTTCTGTACGCACATCAATAACTGTAATATTAAGAATTATTATCCATCCGAATATCGTTTAAGCTGATTGAATCTATACCAAGAAATCTCTTACGAGTATATCTGTCAGAAGTTTGAAAGAACTGGTTTTATAAGGTTAATTAAGTTATCACAAAGTGGTAAAACATATCTACTGTGCAGCGCAAAGGGTTAGTAAAAGGTGGTATACCTATAATAAACTCATAATAGTGACGTAACTTCAAATAATACGAGTATCAGTGCAATCAAATGAATCAACCAATGGAACGTCATGGCTTCAAGATACATGCTGATTGTCACAGTGACAGGAATAGCTTGAAAGGTTTTGCTATATATCTGTCGTATTGTATTCAGTATCACTTTGAAACCATTGAGCCGAATATTATAGGTTCTATTTTCATAACAGATATGTATAATATATGTATTTATATGAGAACTATGTTATAAAAGAACTGTTTATTTGAGAACAATAATGTAAGGGAAACTGTACGAAAACTGCAATATTAAAACTGCATTCCAAGAGTTTTAGCCCGATATTATTCAAATTACAAATCTGTCAAATTAAACATGCTCAGAATTGTAATTGAAATAATATTGAGCTATAATTTTAATCTGATCCAATGATCAAATAGAAGTGCCAGTTGGCTAAACTTTAAGTAACTTAATACTTACTGGACTAGAGATCAACACCATCAATAATAAATCAATAATTGAAACAATTTACTACACAATACCTTTAATACAAAATTAAAAAACAGAGAACACTATATATTTAAGGTCCACTCAAAATAAACTTCTATTTGTTATTATTTCTAGCATATAATAAATTTGAAAATCAAGATTTAAATAAATTGTTCGAAGTACCATTGCCTATACAAAATAGTCCAAGAGGATTTCCAGTTCCGATGTTAAAAATTTTTTTTTTTTTTTTTCTTTAAAAAAGACAACTCCCGCACTAGGAATAAATCGCCTGTGTCGCGGGGGACTTTACAAACATACACGAAACGGACAAGTATCTGTGAAATACTTAGGCATATGTATATGCATGAGATCTTGAGCAACGGCAGCACGTTTATCTCTAAATCAATTATGCGGAAACAAAGCCGTGAAAATAACGATTCATTCTTTCCCTCATGGATATGTAAACGTACAAAGGTTGTTCTCGACAGAGGCTGCTGACGAAAATAGAAGGATCGATACGTCAGGGTTGGCAGCTTCGAATATTTTGAATTTTCTTTAGGTAACTTAATTTTTTGTATAAACACATAATTATGACGTAATTATATAGTAGTTTTAGTAAAGGGATGGCATTTGGCAGGCATAGTAGTTTTTCGCAAAGTTAAGATATAATTTTTCTATTATTATCTTAGTTTCTCTTTTGTGATGATCATCTTCCTTATTTGTTATTTAAACAGTGCTCGCATTGAGAATACGAATTGGAAACCAAATTCAATGCTTTTATGTAGTAATGTTGCATAATCATATAATTGGCCATTTGTTCAAATTGTGTTTCTAATCCCATAGTTTTATTTATTTAGAGAGACAAAGGCAAAGAGATTACCTATTATGACATGTAATATATAAAAGTATACACGGTTCACTACATACACCTACATATACTATATATATATATATATATAAATATCTTTATAAATATACATGTTATATTCGTACACTATGTATACCGGAATATGAGGTGTACTATGGACTGGGTAGTTCTGCCATTTTAGTTCTATAGTTTATAGTTTCTTTTAAAACATTTCATGTAGCCATTTTATTTTTGGTGACTAGATTTTATTGTAAGCAAATGTATCTTCCTTCGAGCATTTTTATAAAAAATTAGGTTGGGTTCGGCTTTAAGTCTACTACGATGGCGCTGAACTAGGTACGTGGAGCGACTGCCATCATACCTCAACAACCTAAGTGCTAGGCGATATCGAAGATCTCGATATCGAATCTGTAGAAAGACTGTTTTCGGACTTTTAAGGGATCCAAATATCCGTAACGATTGCCATAGATGTTTGTTAAGTGAGTCGTGATGAGTCTCAATGTGTTAAGAATGGTCACCAATCCATAGCCTGCTTTGCGTAGTGTAAATGTTGCGGGACGTAAGCCCCCTTGTAAGAAATACATTTTTTTATTAATTTATAAAAATTTTAATTTATTATCAAACTTAGATCTATCATTAAATATATTTTAGCAACACAAACAGTTAAATTAATTGATCATCAGAACTTAAATAACTACTCACTGTGGCCACTCCATCCGGGTGAAGTCTTCATCTTCAGGCATCCAGGTGTAGCGTTTGGGGTCAGGCTGGCTGCACACTGACCGTGGACGTCTCCTGAAGTATGAGCACTCCAAATCGGCATCATAGGCACACAGCTCGGGCGGTGCCGGGGTTGGTTGACCAAACCTGTGAAATAATTATGTCCTTATAATAGGTATTTTTATGTAGACAACTGAAAGAAAAATAAGTAATCGAACTATATTTACTTCATACTATTGAGTGATTCAGTTATGATTATTATGATATTATTATAGGTATTACTGAACACAATGAAACCACCATCCGGGTTTCTTATCTACTGAATAGTGAAGGAACTTGAGTACTGTTCTCAATGTTGCTACACGTATATGTATAAAGTACTGGTTCTGGGTGAGAAATATCATATTATAAAGGCTAAGAGTTGCTTTGAACGGCTTTGCTATTTTCTTAAAATTTTAGGTAAAGGTTTTATATAATAGAATTACTTTGATTAAAGAGTAACAGCATTCCATCAAAACTATATATCACATCATCACATCAACAGCCTTTAATAGTCCACTGCTGGACATAAGCCTCTCCTTAGAAATGAGGTTTTGGGTTTCTATACCACGCTGGCCAGACGGGTTGGTATAAGGTTTGTGTCAAGTTTTCCTTTTCTCTACAGTGCTGTTGTTCTGCGTAGTTGTTTCCCTTAGTCGGCTCTTACGACACCCACGGGATGAATAGTGGTGGTAATATATATTTCAACTATATAGACTCAATGATTGCAAACTGGTAAACTGCCTTTTACTGTTCTGTGTAATATCTTATTAGTATATTCGTTTACATTCTTAATAAAAAACTACGTATACACAACCTCCTTTTTTAATAACAAGCTTTCAAATTCATTTAGATCTGTGTCTTTGGGATCTATCAACCTACATGACAATTGTTAGAAACCGTTTTGTAATATTTTATTATTATTTAACTCGTAATACTCAAATAAAACAGACATTTAAAAACTATACACTAAACAATGGATTATAAATAATATATAAATAATTGAAATTTCGTTAACTTTAAAACATAATCCCACGAAATAATCTGCTCCACGTTTCACGAGATAACGTCAGCTGTTTCGATTCAGTACGCTAAGCTTGATTACACACCAACAACTCAAAGTACGCCTTGAGACATCGTTATTCAATTATACTAATTGGTATTTAATAAAATTATTTTTCATATAAACTCAAACATATTATCAAATAAATTACAGTCTCCACAAAGTATAATTCAATAATCACCATGTTCCCAAGGGATCATTATGTACCTAATTAAATTAAAGTACCTACCAGTTTAAAAACGTCTTTTTAGGTTTTCTCAAATGTTTATAGGCTAAACACAAGGGTTTAAATATGAGCACAATTTCCATAACGCGTTGTATAAGCAAGTTTTCTCTAAACAAATACAAATAATACTTATCTAAAAAATATGTTTTAAAACTATTGATCTATCTTACCTGGGGTACCTCTGTATTGGTGCATAATCGGTGTTGAGGTTCTCATCGGAGGGTACCCGCCGGCGAACACACACGGATAGAAATGATGCTCTGAAATAATATTACTACTGTTATTATTTGAAGATTACAATATTCAGAAAGATTACAATTTTCTATGCTATGGTTAACGCACAAAAACAGATGTCAAGTAATTCTTTTATTGATTAATTGAGGAGTGCAAAAAAGAGATTTGTAGATGTACGTATAGAAGGTGGAACTGATCTACTTACGAGTATTAGATGACAGATTTACTTATTAGGTGACAGATCTATCATTTATACAAGATTACTGGGTAAGTCGAACTAAATACTTTAAGGGGTTGTAGATGCTATCATTTCTAATAGATTTCACTAAGAAATACCATAATCCAAACCTTACCATTTACAAGATATTGGACTTTTTTTAAAAAATTATTCAGAAAGCCGAATTTTTTTTAGAACTTGTATATATGCTTTACTTTATGCTTTTTTTTACTATTTTTGTGTATAAATTAACTAATGGCTATACTAATACTTTCAATTACTAAAATTGTACTTAACTAAACAAACTGGGCGAATTAGAGGATTACTAATAGCAAAAATAAATAAATTTGTAGAAAATATATTTTTTTTATTTTCGTAAGATATCGGTCAATACGGTCAACACAAATTTCACGAATTGGACGGGATAAAACTAACACGATGCACATTTTTATGAAACATTTTATAAAATACTAGCTGACCCGCGCAACTTCGTCTGCGTCTCTCAATAGTAATAATTTTTCTCCGTTTTTTAAACATTCTTCATTGGTGCTCCGCTCCTATTGGTCTTAGCGTGATGATATATAGCCTATAGCCTTCCTCGATAAATGGGCTCTCTAACACTGAAATAATTTTTCAAATCGGACCAGTAGTTCCTGAGATTAGCGCGTTCAAACAAACAAACAAACAAACTCTTCAGCTTTATAATATTAGTATAGAAGAGAACTGTCTTATTGTAATTAATTGACTTATTTTAATAACGTACAATTCGGTCTCAATTATCACCAAGTCAAGAAATCATATTTTTTTATCGTCTACCGATAAAATTGTTTGTGCAAATGAGTAGGCCAAGTGAGTAGCCTCATGAATAAATCGGACGTAAACCATGTTTTTCGGAAGGATTTTAGTTGCTTAATTTCCTCAGAAAGGCCAATCTCTCACAAAAGAATACAAATTTTTGTTGCCAAAATAAATGTTCTTATTTTTTTAGCGATTTAGGCAATGTTTAATAGTCTTGCTTCTATTGATTTTCTTATTGCTTCAACAGAGCTTACTCGTAGCTACTACAAAGATTATGAGTTTTTTTATTGCTTACTCGCGATATCCATTGCCGGAAGTATCGTGCTATTTAGAAGAAGGTCCTATTTTTTTTCTCTTTGTTTTTTATAGACCACATTATCTTTATAATTGTAACACTTTATTAACAGTCCTACCTATGAACATGGCTGGTTAAATCTTGCACTCCAGAAGTTGTGATACATCATTTTACAGGTTCAGGAGTGTCACGTTGCACCGAACTGATGTACAGTTTGGTGCAACACAAGTTTATTCGAAATATTTTTATTATTTTATTAACGCACATCACAGTACTCGTCGTACAGTAATCTTTAATTTGCTAATAATATCAAATGAGAGAAAGAGCGTATAATAAAACTCTCAATGTATTGGTGGTTTAATATATTTACATTTACATAAAATTACAAAAAGTTTATAGTACTATTTCAATTTTATATTAACTACATACATACGCCCCGGCCTCGCACTTAATATAGATACTACTAATGTGGTGTCAGTGCGGACTGTGGAGTAATTAAATATACTATTATCATGATAGGACTATACTACATGACATCTTTATGTGCAATATTTATAGGCCCGCTACGATCCTGCCGGTCGCTGCCACCCGTGACAGACGTACGGCCCGAAACGGCGACAACCCCTTTGCCCCCATATTTTAAACCTCTAATATCTTTTATACATTCATTATTTTAATGATATGCTGTAAAAAGCAATTTTAATTAAAGTTAAATGCAAAACGTATCTAACGTATTTAATTGGATAAGCAATAACAATGTATGTTATTGTTTAATAAAGCTTCGTAAATAATCCATTATTTCTTATCATATTTAAAAGATAAAAATGTTTACTGTGGATTATCTTTAAGAGTTAGACATATACTATTAAAGACTTTTTGTATATCTTTTTAATATTTACAAATCCGTAGTATATTTTTTTATTTATTTATATGACACACAATACAACTATTTTTACAGGTTTTGTACCTAATACAATAGTGTAGCCATTTCTTGTTACAAACATATATAGTAGTAAATAACACTTATTTTATAAACAATTTTAGCAACCTCATTCATCACTACAGCCAGAGACACAGTCACACTCATATACTTCCAATCACACCCATCCCAGATAAACCACTCCCAGACACGGCACATACTGACCCGCCCATCACACAACTCGTCCCGGGCGGGCCCACTAGGCCGACAGGCCTCACGTATTACAAGTCCATGTTATAGCAAATAACATTCAACGCTACTCTTGTGAATTCACTCAGAGCACAACAGAATATGTCTATCTCGCTGGCTATTAGGTTTAATGTGCGAAGTGCGCGCGTCAGTGGCGCCTGGCTTAGAAGATTGGTACGGGCGCGCGGCTCCGCCAGCAATCTCGGTTGTCGCCGTCGCCACACATACCCGTCTGGCACACAAAAATACACCTGTCCCAATAGGTCAGCATTATGTACTTTCCCCCTAATTATTTTGATGATATATGTGGTGAGTGCGAGTTCCCTTCTAGCACTCAGAGTGTTGTATCCCACCATTCCCACTATAAATAAAGTTGGGTACATTAATGGGTAGAGTGGGTATACACCATACCGACGCAAATATAGATATCTCAAAAATTTGTTATGTACCCGCTCCACCATGAACCTATATTTAGATTCATGAGGAGCCCAGATAACTGCGTTACATTCTAGCTGACTTCGGACCAGAGCATTATACAGGGCAATAACCGCGCTAATATTTGTGAACTGTTGAACCGTGCGAAGGATAAAACCTAGGTTCCTGTATGCTTTCTTACAAATTTTGGTGATGTGATTGCGAAACGTCAGCGCAGTGGTAAAATTTACCCCTAGGTCCCTAACTTCTGTGACCCGTGTGAGCGGCGTTCCGTCTATATTATAATTATGTACCACAGGGCTGCGTGCGCGAGAGAAACTAATTATCACGCATTTTGAGGTGTTAAATTGTAAGAGGTTATCTCTACTCCAATCCACTACCCTGTCTATGTCCCTTTGCAACCTTTTACAGTCATCCACGCTTTTTACAGCAAAAGAGAGCTTGAGATCATCAGCAAACAGTAAGCATCTAGCGTCTTGAACCACTCTTGTCAAGTCATTTATCATAATTATAAACAATAGTGGTCCGAGATTACTGCCCTGACTCACGCCAGATCGCGTAAAATATGGTTCTGAGACTTGTCCCGCGTATTCTACATACTGCTGCCGATCGCTCATATAGCTGGCAAAAAAACTAAGCAAGTGGGGGGTAAACCCAACCACGGCTAACTTTTTAAGCAGGACGTCATTGTTTACCAGATCAAATGCCTTTTTAAAATCAAAGTAAGCCGAATCAATCTGTCCCCCACTGTCCACTGTTGGCACAATATGAGCCATGTAGCTGAGAAGGTTACTAGTGGTGCTTCTCGCTGGCCGAAAACCATGTTGGGCATCGGCAAGTTGTGCACTTACCTGATGAAATATGCTTGTGTGGATTGCAGCTTCAAACACCTTTGCCGGAGTCGATAGTACTGCAACCGGCCTGTATCCATCCACTTGTGCCCCCAGACTTCCCTTCGGCACGGGCACCACGCGGGTTACTTTCCATCGCTCCGGAAACACTGCCGCCTTTAGGCACTTATTATAAATATCCAAAAGCGGCTCCGCTAAAACCGACCGACAATCCTTAAATATATAAGGCGGAATGCAGTCTGGTCCTTTGGATCTTTTAGCTTTAAGTTGTTGGAGGGCGCGAATGACGTCATTCAGTTGCAATTGGTCAATGTGAACGCGAGCCGAGCTATTGTCGCTGCCCGCTTGTGATATAGCTGCGCTCACATTTAACTCGGCCCGCTCCGCACTATAAACCGAATAAAAATAATCAGCGAAATCTTTAGCACATTGGTCATCCGTTAACGCTTCCCCATTTTTAAATATCTGTTGGGGAACTCTACTTCCTCGCATAGATTTAGCGTAATTCCAAAAGGATTTTGGATCTTTATGTAATTCATTTTGAATACGATGTTGGTACTGTTTACGTGCATATGCGATAGTTTTTTTCACCTTAGCTCTGCACTGAGCGAACGTTTCGTAATCACAATGTAAGCCACTCTTTTTATACTGTTTATGAAGAACAGCTTTTAGTCGTATGTCGCGGAATAATTTCAATAGTGTACCACTCAGGGTAAAACATACCTCGAGTTTTACACGACTTCGCTTTTTTTTCGGAACACAGCCATCTATAACTGAGTTAATGGTGTTGTAAAAAAAGTTTAAACTATTTTCTAAGTCTAACCCGTACATTGGCGTCCAATCTACTATCGCTATTAAATAATATAATAACCTAAAATCCCGCTTTATTAAAATTCCAACCTACATACTTGGTGGTGCTAGGTGCAGCTGAGCCGGCCAGCCGGCGCTGGCATATGCTGCGTGGGCGTCTCACTGTTACGTCGAGCGGCGGGTGGTGTGCGTCCACCGGCACTAGCGGCGCCTCTGCCGCGCGCACAATCACACTTCCCTCTTGCACTAACGTACTTAGCACTAAGTCTAACTGACGATCGTTGCAGTTACCTACGCCGTTACTCTGAGTAAATCCACAATATGTCACAAAGTATTCATAATAATTATTCACGTATGATGAACCAGAATATAAATTGAAATCGCCCATAACAATTACATCTTTATATTTATCACAGTACTGTTCGATAATCCTAAACAATAACAAGTATTCA